TTAAAAAAGATAATAATACAATATTATTATTTTATATGCATACATTTATATATTTGCATAAATACATTATATTATATGAAAATATCTAATTTTTTAATTTAAATAATATGTTATATACACACACACACATATATATATATATGATCATTTCTTTTGGTTATTATAATTCAAAAAAAAAAAGAAAATTAAATAAATCTAATCTGTTATAGAAATTTAAGTTATTTAATTATAATCGTTATTTACGTCCACCATTTATTAAAGTCCTTAAATGTTATATAAGTAATTTTAAGATAATCTTGTTTTTTTATTATTATTATTATTATTAATTAATTAATTACTTTCTTTAAAATTATATTAATTATATTATTAATTTTTTTTTTCTGTTTGCTAAACTATTAAATAATTAAAAAAAACCAACAACAAAGCGTTCTATATATTTAATTTTTAAGATATTATTTTTTATTATAATTAAAAAAATATTATGATTAATTATATTAAAGTTTTTTTTTTATTATTATTATTATGTAATATTATAAATAATTATATTATTTTGTTGAAAACAATAAAATTTAATATTATTTTTTTTTTATTGAAAAATTTAAAATATTGAAATGTATAAAATATAAAAAAAAAAATCGTTTTTCTAAAAAATTACATAATTGTGCTTATAAAAAATGTTAAAATAAAATTAAAAGCGCACAAGAAAAAGAAGAATTTAGAAAAAATGGAGAAAAAATATCTTTTATTTTTTTTTTGTCACTTGATAAATTTTTTAAAAATATTTTATTTGATAAAATAAAGGGAAGGTGTTATTATAACGCAAATCAACGTTTTGGATTTAAAAAAAAAAAAGAAAGGAAAGTTTCACTTTGTTATTTCTAAGAAACAAAAAAATAAAAATTAGTATAGAATTTTTAAAATATTTAAAAACAAGTTATGATAAAATATTCAATATTATTGCTAAAAACAAATATCTTTTAATTAGTACATAAAAAATTTTGAATTACTCAAAATATATTTGAATATTAAATAAAATATATATTTTTTTTAATTGAAATATCTTTTTTTTTCGAAACAATAAAGCAAAAAAATATTAATAAATGTAAATCTTATTCTTCATATAAAGAATTTTATAAAAAAAAATTAAGCTAGAAAAGTAAAAGTCGCCCACTTCAATAAAATTTAAATAATTAAATAGTAATTAAATTTAAATCTTCTTAAGAGGAAAAATATTTGATTTCTAAAATTCCATAATTAATAAAAAAAACAATAAGAAAACAAGTAAATAAATTTTATTATTTAAATAATTTTATTATTATTATTATACTTTAAACTTTATAATTCTTGTTTTTTATCAGCTTCTATAAAATTTAATTACATTTAATAAAAAAAAATACGCTTAAAATTTTTTTTTTAAATTTTCAAAATTCAGTATATTATTTTTTATGGATTTGAAAATTAATGGTCACTTGTAAGTGTAAAGAATTTGAATTGACAAAAAGAATTTTTAATAAGTGGGCGATATTAAATTAATTGTTCATTAATAATTTTATTAGGAAATTAATTATATTTTATTTTCATTCAAATTTGCTTCATTATTTTTGGGGAAAAAAATACTCCATTCCTTTCAGATATATTCCCTAATTAAAGTACAGATTTTATAATAACAAGTAATAATTATAATAACTTTAATTTAATAATTTACAATTTTTCTTATATATTGTTCTAATATGTAATTTATACTAAAAAAATATGCATATATCAAAAACTCGATTTATTTGTTATTTAAAACTTATACCATCATTAAATTTAAGTTATTTAAAATAATTTAATTATTGTACGATTATAATGTGCAAAAATATTTTTTACTAGAAAAGAAATTTAGAAATTTGATAACGGAAGCACTTATATGAAATATTAGAAATAATTTTTTATTGTTGAATAATAATTAATTTATTTAATTATTTTTAAAGAAATTGAATTACATTATTGAAAAAATAGAAAAAAATTTTCTACAAGTTGATAAATTAATTTTATAAATTTTTTGAATTTAGTGAGATCAATTTTGTAACAGATTAAAATATCTATTTTATTTTTTCCTTATTTTAAATGTTTTTATTTAAATAGATGCATTTTATTTCTATAAAATCTTTTTTTTTATATAAAATAAAAGTTGAGTGAATATAAAAAAAATTTTTTCTAAATAAAAATTTTTGTACTTTTTTTGAATTGCTAAACATAAATCGGGTTTAAATATATTTAATATAAATTTAATTAATATGAATGATTATATGGTAACTATGATAAATATATTTATATATAGATTTTATATTAATATTTTATTTATTTTCTATTTGTAATTTAGTTTTTTGTTGAAATTTTATATATACATTTGTTTTTTTTTTATTATTATTTTATTACTTTGGGATTTATAATTTCTTTTTTACATACAATATAAATTAATAATTTAAAAAAAAAATAGCGACGTTAGAGATATTTTCTTTTTCTTTACTACTTTATAAGAAATATGTAATTAAATAAAAAAAGAAGTTGCATAAACCAATTTGCTATTTATATTCTTATTGTATATTTAGGATTATCTTTTTGGAATCATAAGCTCTATTATATGCTATATCAAAAATAAAAATTTTGTTTCATACTAAATTACTTCTTAGTTATTTCTTTTTTTAATTATTTGATTAAGTTCAGTGTTTGTTTTTTTTCAAAATTATGAAATAATATACATTTACCATATTATACACACATATTATATGCGTAAACTAATTATATAAGAGTATAAAATGAATTTTTAAATTTAGTTTTTTTTTTTTAACTTTCATTTTTAATAAGTTGTGTGTTTTGTGTAACTGCATATTTTATAACAATTTAATAAATAATTATCAAAGATAATCCTAATATTAAAAAAATTATTTAATATAATAAAAAATATATATATATAAATTTGTATAATAAAATTATGACATTATTTAAATTGTATTATGTGGATTAAAAATGTTAATGAGAAATATGTAATATGAGAGTGATAGATTAATTATTTGGAAATAATTTATTTAATGGAAATTTTGAAGAATTTATAGAAATGGTAATAAATTGTTATGTTTTTCTTTTTTTATTTTAGTTCCTTTTTTAAATAAAATTGTATAAAGCAGTTGTATGAAAAATAAAAAATAAAAATTTTTGAACGTTTCATAAAACTTAACCCTAATAGTAATTATAATAATAGTTGTTATACTATTATTATTAATATTAGTTAATATTATTATAATTATTATTATTATTATTAATATACGGCAACACTCTTATAATACATATTAACATTTCCGGATAACAAAAACACTTATAATATATATATATATGTATATATATGTAAATATATAAGTATACATATGCGTATATATAAATATTTGTATGTATGTATATGGAAAAAATTTAAAATCACAAAATATTATTAATAAAAATAAATTTTTAATAATAAAATGTTAGAAATTACAATATATACAAAAATTCAATAGCTATGTATATGATATATATGTATATGTATATGATATATATATATATATGTGTATATGTATATATATATATATATATATAGATATATATATTTATATAGATATATATATATATATATATATATGTGTGTATATGTATATATATATATATATATGTATATAATTAACCATAATTACATAAATCGCTACATATACTATATAATATGGTATATTATAATTTATAATTAGGCAACACTCTTGTATATAATAGGAAAAATGTTTCTTAAAAATTAAAATAAAAAAAAAAAATGCTAAAAAAAATAATTCAAAAAAAATAATAAAAAAAAAAATTAAAATACAAAAAAAAGAGATTTTGGTAAAAACAAAAAAAAAAGCATAACTAAAATACTATAAAATTGTTCTGGCATATTGTAAATATATATTTATATATATATATACAAATATATATGTAAATATATATAAAATAAATATATATAAGTATATGTTTATATATATGTATATATAAATATATATATATATATATATATATATATATATATATATATATTCATGTATTTATATATATAAATGTTTAAAAAATAATTCTTAATACATACATATATATGTATATCAATAAAATTTAAAAAAAACAAATGCATAATTAACTGTACGAATATATAATTAGAAAATAAAAACAAAAAAAAAAAAACAAAAATAAAGAAAAAGAAAAAAAACACAAAGAAAAAAAAGGAAAAACAAAATTAATGCGTTTTATATTACTTGTAGTACATTCCCTAAGAAATGAGTTCCTATTTCTTTACCTAATAGTAACTTTGGAAAGATAAAACTATATAAAATCTTTTTTATACATATAGATATTTTTTAAATTTTCCACCAACTAGTGATCGACCGGTGGAAAGGGTTATTTTGAAAATTCAGTTCTTAAGGTTAGAACTGCAAAGCTTTTAGAAGCTCTACATTTAATTTGTACATGAGGCCTTGAACGCTCTGCAGTTCTAATCTTAAGAACTGGATTTTCAAAAGCGTCAAAAATTTTGATGTAACATTGTAAAAAAAAATTGACAAACAAATGAGACCTTTTCATAAATCTAATCTGAACATTGCTATTTTTTCGCAATTGTATAGGGAAATTAGTGTAAAAATAAGCGTATAACTAAGTGTTGTAATAATTGTTAAAATGTTAATTACATACAACGCTTATTAACAATTTATATAGAACAGTTGATAGTTTTTAAACGTGATTAGATAGAGAAAATTATAATGGTGGCGATATCCCGCCTTATCATAAGATATTATCGAAGTTCACGTAGTTTGATAAAATTGGAGTCTGTATAAAAATTACACAAATGGTACTTTTAAATGAACTAAAACCAAAGAGGTGTGGTAGCCCTAGAATTTTACAAAAACGTCAATATTGTATTTATATTAAATATTGTGTTCAACCCTAGATCATATTTTATTTTTTTGGTTATATGTACATATTGTGATTTGATCAAAATATATAAAAGTAAAATATTTAAGTTTTTTTTAGATTAAATACTATTATTCCAGTAGAAAATTTTAAAATTTGTTAAATATGAAGTTATTTACATACAATTTTTTGACGTCAAAGGGAATGCGTGGAGTTCAAAAAGGTTTCCCTTTAAAATTAAACGTAATGTTACAACTTTTAAAATTTTATCATGTTATTTTTATTTTATATTTTATTTCATTGATGCTTTTGTATTTTACTTATTCACTCGAAAACTATAGATTGTTAAAAAGGAAGTTGTAGAGACAGAATTTGATGCCAATGTCATACAAAAAATAATACAAAAAATGGATTGGCCCACAGTGCTGGCGGTTGCTGACCAGGTAAATTTAACTAATATTGTAAATTAAAATATGTAATTGAAAACATTTATAAAACGTAGTACATATCTACTAAAAGTGCACATAAATTCTTTTTTTTAGGTCGGTTTAGCTGAAAATATACCCAAGGAAGTCAATGAAGATATTTTAGGAAATCATGAAATACTAAAAAAAATACATCATTTGCTTTTGGAGATTGACATAGTAGAAGGTAACCTTCAGTGCCCTGAAACGGGTAGATTATTTCCAATTAGTGATGGTATACCAAATATGTTATTAAATGAAGACGAAGTTTAGTGTTAAAAAAATATAGTTTTGTTTTATTAACTAGTGTAATAAATTAGGACAGACGTGGACACTATTACTGGCCATTATATTTAAAATTTTAAAATTGATCATTTACATATCATATATACATATCTACATAATTTTGAAAATAAGTTTCAACTTATATACAAAAATTAACTTTAATTCTTTACGCTCGGAAAAAACCCTAATCGAATATAGAAGTACCCATAAAGGAGAATTGATCATTGTCATAATCATCCTTATCACCTTCTGTGTGCTCCAAAAAGTATTTACCAACGCTCTTTTCATTCCAACTGTTTCCATTTTGTGAAATATTTGTATTTTCGTTTATGAGAGCTTTATATTTTTCACACACATTGCTGTTATAATCACATTTTAAAAGGTTTTGTCCATAATCATATGCATCGGAATTTAGTTCTGGAGTAATATTAAAATGTTCTAACATAAAACTAAAAATTTGCTCCTTCGTCGTAAAATTATTGAAATGAGTCCTAATTTTTTTCTTCAAGAGCTTTTCCATCATAAACGTTAAATGATGATGAAAACATTGGAAAGATATATTCATATCGGCTGCAGCTCCAATATTTACCCAATCTTGCAAACATTCATTTGTTGTTTTTGTCGTGCCTGTAAAAAGAGTAGGATTACTCAGTAAACCCCTTGCACTCATAATCCCGTCACAATTTGTTTCATTATAAGCTGTATTTGCATCGTTTAAACATTTAATATCACCATTATAAATTATAGGTATAGTCAGAGACTTCTTAATTTCTGAAACAGCTGCCATATCGGCAGGTTCTGATGTTTTTTGCCGTGGAGTCCTTCCATGTATTGATATAAACGTGGCTCCAGTTTTTTCTAATTGCCTACTTAAATCCACAGTAGATTTAAGATCCCTTTTTTGTAATAACCTCATTTTTACGGAACAACTAAATGAGTTTGGTAAAACTCTTTGAACAGATTTAATCATATCTTGTATAAGTTCCGGTTTCCTTAGCAGAGCACATCCATATGACTTTGAAATAGCCCAACTTTGAGGACAACCGCAATTAATGTCGACACCATCTACATATGGATACACCAATTGAGATGCAGTTTGAAACTCCACAGCATCTTTAGCAGCAAACTGAGCTATCAATGGATAATCATCTTTAAAGCAAATTGGATAAAAACTCGCAATACTATTATGATTAAAAACGTATAGAGATTATATTTACCAAGTGATGTTGTAAATTCACTATTACGGGCTTCTTCGCTTCTGCAGAAAGAATCAGCTACAATCATTGGAGTGAAGCATAAATGAGTTTTATGTTTTCTTAAAAGTTTTCTAAATTCTAGTCTACAATAAAAATTTTTGTTCTTATTTTCAAAACAAAGTAGTTAATATAAGTACATACTTGCTATAACGAACCATAGGTGCAGCAACATTTAAGTAACTATTATTACGTTTTTGTTCAGAAAATAATTGTAAAATTTCTGTTTTAGGTTTAGTCATATTTACCATTATTACTTGTATTTATTAAAAATTCACCTTTTTACTTTCATCAAATTATACTAAAGTTTTGTTTTTATTTTTATAAATTGAATCAATATCAAATATTGTGTTTATTTACCCCACGATCACACAAGACTTTTAGCTTGTACGTCACACCATGTACATGTGGTTGTAAACATAAAACGAACTGTCAAGTTACCGTCTTTCTAACGTGGTATTTAGACCAGTGATGCCAGGAGGTGAAAAATTTCTGAAAAGTACGAAAAATTTGTACGGAATCTTTTGAAAGTGTTTAGTGTTTTTTTAATTAAAACTTTTTTTTTAAATATAGATGAAATTATATAATAAATGGAGTTTTCCAGAGCAGGGGAGTAACAATAATGGTGTGAATACTAATTATAACAGCGTTAAAATAACGAATATGAGTTGTAGATACGGAAACCAAATAATGTATATGTACATCTTAAAATATATTTTTCGCGAATACAATATAGATTTACAATATAAATACTTTTATACGCACATAAATATTTGTATGAATGTATGTACTATGAGGTCATAAAATACAAAGTTCGTAATAGACCTAGCTTTATTACTAATTTTCTCCATCCATAATAGCAGATTCTTTTATTTCTTCAACAAACTTGTTAAATGAGTACCTTTTTGTTGAAATAATCTTTGAGTTTGGTTTGGTATTCCTACGTTCAAAATACAAAATCATTTCTCGACTTTTTATAACTACAATAGTTCTAACAAAGATGCACTTTAAGAAATACATAATCTAATTATCTCGAAACTCCTATTGCTGTAATATAACAATAATTATTTAATACAATAAAATATACGTTTATTTTTTTTTACTGAAATGTATTTATTGGTTTTGCAATGCATTTCTACACAACATACATTTTTTTCTTTTTATTTTTTTTGTAAATTTAACTTTTTGAGATATAATTTTACTACAAGAATATCTTATATCTAAAAAAATATACTAAGAAATTTTAGTAATATTATTTTTAAAAAAAAAATGACGCTTAATAACTAATATTATTATGAAATAAATTTAAGTCAAGTAAAGAACGGACGGTGTTCTAGAGTAAAATGTTAATTACAAGCGATTAATTTTAAAAGTATGTAGTTCTTAAACATGCATAATAATTATGTACATATATTAAATAAATTATTTAACTTTTAAAATAAATGTACATAATCAATTTTTGTAAAGTATGTTATTAAATATTTTAGTATGTGTATACTATTAAACCAGTCAATTATATTTGGCAATTTTTTTTTTTGAACAGTAAGGTCCATAACCCATTACATAATTCAAAAAAAAAAAAAAATTTTTAAATAACTTAATGTTATTATGGAAAAAAAAATTCGTAAAAAAATTCATTTTAGATTTTTTTATGTAAATTCAATAAATATACATAATTAATATTCATAATTTTTTATTTTGGACGGGAGTTTATGCAAAATAATTCTGAAAAAGATATTTAAGGTTTTAGTAGCTGTACCGGAAGTTTATGGATTTAATTCAATCTTTGATTGTTTCCTTTTCTTTTTATTTTAAATTTTAAGTTATTTTTTGAATATAAAGGTATTGATATTACTAATTATAAAAGATTAATATTACTAATTGAATATGTATCCTTTAAAATAAATATATAATTTATAATATTTAAAATAAATTCTTTCAAAAAATAATAAATCGTTTTAACACTTTAATTTTGTGTTAAATAAATAAATTGTTATTATTACAAATAAGTATAATTACACGTATACAAATTATAAGTACATTATTTAGTAATATTTTATTTGTTTGCTAGAGAGCTTTGTTTTTAATTATAAATACATTAAATTCAAAAGGTAATGTGCAATTAATATACATTATGTGCCGAATATTAAATCTTACAACTTAGTTGCACAATGTACATTATTATAAATAATATACAATTAAACATTTAAAATAAAAATATTATTCATGCTAATAAAGTTAATTAAGCTACATGGTTTTATATATCTATTATGTTTTAATAAGTGAAGCTTAAAATGTATTAATAAAATATATTATAATCTATTTGTTTGCTAAAAAAAAAAGCTTTATATTCGCTCATATTCTGTTATTCGCATCACTTAAGATGATTCGAGATATTATTGAGAAATTTATTGTTTTTCAGTATAGAATTTCAAAAAAATTTTTTTAAAAAATTACAAATTTTTTAAATAGCAATCCCCAATTATGCGGATAACAGAATATGTGTAATTATTTATGTATATAATATTCAATAAAAATATAGAAGACAAAAAAATTATATTGTGAGATATTGCTAATTTAGTGATATGGTATTTTAAAATATAGCATCGTTTTTTTTTTTTTTTTAAATTTGTAATTATTAATCTTATAAATGTTTAATAAATGAGCATAAATCAATTGTTGAAAATTCAATACATTCACATACATTAGAGAAAAAAGTAAATTTTCACGCTAAATCATTTCCGAGATTCTTAACTAGTAACATAATTTTATTAAATATTTTTTTTAAATGAAATTGAAATTACATATTATATACTTATTTATTATATACGTATTTTTCAATTAATGAACATGTTTTTTTCTTTTTTTGGCAATTTTTTCGATTTAAATTCATTTAAATTATTTAAAAAATTTTCTACTAAAAATTTTATCTAATTTAAAAAAAAAAATTATTTATGCTTAAGCCAATTAAAAGGTAGAGTCACAGAAAAATTTGTCGAATTACAGATATTGAACTTAAAATTCAATGTGAAACATGTTGTTTTTATTACACCTTGATCCACGATTAATTTCATTTTTTTTTTACTTTTTGTAAAATATTATTTTTTCATATTAATTACATTTAATATTTGCGTTTAAACTTGAATAAATACTTCCTTTTGCCAAACCAATTTTTGGTCCTTTGCATAAATCTGTATTAGAACCATGTGGATTAACACGTTCGCATCTTAAATTTTTGGCATCAGAACCTTTACTTTTTGTTTTATTTGCAATTGTTAAATTTGGATTGGCACCGCTCCATGTAACATAATCAGCACTAAAAGAATTAATAACAAAAATTAAAAAATCTAAAGAAAAAAAAAAAATAGAATTGTATAGAAATATTACAGTAAAAGATTTTCATTTGGACCATTTGAAAGTTCTTTATTATGTCCCAAAGTTGAAATTCTTCCAAGAATTGATTGAAATTCTTGTTGGTATACAGCATCTTTTTCAACATCATTTGAACTACTTGATGAATTTCTGAATTCAGAACAAAAAATAAATAAAACAAATTGAAAAAAAAATACATTAAATACTGGTTGCATATTCATCAACATTGCACAAATTATTAACGTAAGCATATAATTACTTACTATTACCTTGTATATAAAATAACTTCTTTTATATATAATAATTAAATTTATAATGAATTTATGATATTTTATGAGATGTAAAATAAGTAAATTACTAAATTTTTAAATTTACATTTTTAACAAAACAAGTGATATCTTAAGTAAAATAAAACTTATTAAATAAATTGTCAGTGCTATAAGAGAAAGAAAAGAGATAAATAAAAAATATAATATGTTCATAATGTTAAAAATAAAAATTATAATTTTTATATTGATTGCTTTTTATTCGTTTAATTCAGAAAACAATATTTTTTTTTTAATTCTAAAATGAACTTGATACATAAAATAGCTTTTGGCATAGCAACGATATTCGAAAGTTTAATAGAATTTAGCTTATTCAAGCAGAAACCAATAACTATTTCAGAACTCAACGCATTAAATTTAATAATAATAATTATTCCAATTTAAAATTTAATACTGATAAATAAAATACATTAATATTTGTATTTTATATAAGCACATACTTTGAAATTTTGCTGGTTTTATGATCCTAAAACAAAAATATTAATAATAGGATTTTTTTTATTTAATTCCCTCTAACATTTATACATTATCTTGCTTATGTAATTAAAAATGTATAAAAACTTTTATATTATAATATTATAAATCTATTTTAAATCTTTAGATTAAAATTAAAATTTTTAGAAATTCGCTAAACTAACTACTATAATATTAATAAATTGTGCAAGTTATCACACTAATTAAACATTCTGAAATATGAAAAAATAGAAAATAAATAATATTAAAATTTTATGGATATGGAATATATCTGGCGATACGAAATATATTTTAAACATTAAAATATAACTATAATAATTTCGTAGCTTTTATTTTATAAACAAGTTGAACAGTAAATTAATCATTTTTGGGGGTACGTAGCATTTTTAATTCCTAATTTGGTTTTGCAGTAAAAAATATATTTAACCGATATTAGATTGAAATTATAACAATTTTAATACTTATATATTGTAATATACAAATATACTAAATATCTACAGTTAAAAAAAAATAAAAATATAATTTGTAAAAACATTTCTAAAATAAATTATTAAAATAAAATAAATTAAATCAGAAATAAAAGCAAATATTAAATGAAAATTTATTGCTGTCTTAGTTTAATTATTTAAATTAGTAATTTAAAAATAACTAATTATTTTTAATAAATTCATTTCTTTGCTTAATTATTTTTTTGCTTATCTACTATAAAATTATGTACAATATATTTGGTACGAAAATAATTAATTCAATATAAATTTTTGAGATGCTATTTTAGACGATATTTTCCTCCTTCTAGAATATATTTTACTAATTTCTTATATTATATAAGTTCTTTACTATAAATAATATAATGCTCTATATTTATGATAAATTCATAAATAATTACTTATATTGATATACTATAAAATTATAATTATAAAATAAAAACATGCTTCAACTTAAAATACAATTTAATATAATTTACTAAGTGATAAATAAAAAAGACAAACAAACAAACAAATATTATTGGATAAAATTAAATTAAATATAAAAAAGTATTTTTAAAAATTACAAAAAAAAAAAAATCTTAATTCATATAATAATAACTATAAAATTGTGTTATTTTTAAGTGTTTTTATAAAATAAATAATACAATTATCTAAAAATTCTTAAGAATTGCCCATACTTTAATGATCCCGATTTATCTCTTGTACGATATTTTAATATATATTTTGATCCTTTGTTATTAGATGTTAAAAATGAAGATGATATAGCTGATGATGATGATGATGATGTAGATGTTGACATTTGTAATTGATTATTAGAATCTTCGATATTCATATTTGATGATTTATTATCGGCTTCAGTCTTTTCTTCATAATTGATATTAATAATATCATTTCTAGAATTTGAAATTTTTAATTCTTTATTATTATTATCATTTTGAATTAAAATATTATTTTCATTTATAGCATTGTGTTGTATTTTGTTGGTATTATTGCTGTTGTTTTTATCGTGAGATGATAAACAGGTTTTTTGTGAAGATATTTTTACTTGTGATTTCATATTATTATTTTCTTGTTGCAATTGTGAAACATCATTTAATATATTATTTGTATTTTCATTCTGATTTTGTTCAATGTCGATAATATTATCATGTTGATCTTTTCCAATATCAATGGGATCATTCAAACTATAAATTTTTAAAAATTGTATCGTGTAATTTCTTACTTTTTTTTTTTTTTACTTCATTATCAGAGAGAACAAAAATAATTTACATTAAGAAAAAAATTATTTAGTAACATAATAAAATAATTAAATATCACGACAAAATCATAAGAGACAAAACATTTTTTCAACTAAATATATTTTGGGTAGTAAAATTATATATTAATAAATAAGTAATTAAAAAATAAAATATTTTAGTATATTTCTTATATAAAGATCAACTTTTAAATGGAATTAATATTCCAGTTGTTAAATAATTTTGTATATCATTTATTTTAGGTTTTTTATTTATATTTTTAATCATAACAATGTATATTTTTGTGATATTAAAAAAATTATTTTTATTTCTCATATTAAGCTTGTTTTTCGTTTTTTATATTATTGTTTAATTTTTAATAATTTAAATAAAATATTTTCGTTTTGAATTTTTCATATCATTAAAAACAAAATGGTTTAAAATAATATAAGCAACAGTAAATAATATACTTATTATGTATATTTAATTGAAGTAATATTTTAACAAAAAAATTTAAAAAAATTTAAATAACAAAAATATTCTGAAATTTTCCCTGTAACACTTATTAATTCAGAATATGCTATTAAATATGCTACTATAAATACTTTAAAATTCACTATTTGCGTTATTTCTGCAATAAAATTATTTTATGTAATTTGGAATTGCAAAACTTAAACCTTAAAAAATGAAAAGAATTGAAATATATGTCGCTTATATACAATCACTATTATAAATTATAGACTTTATTATAGACCTTAATTCCTATTATGTAATTCTTTTTGATTTATTTAGTTATTTTAAAATAAATTAAAAAACTACTAGTATACATGTAGTTTATAAATAAAATGTAATTATATTTTCATTTATTTAGACGGGATATTTAATTTTTGCATGGCAAATTCACGCAGTTTTAGTTTTGCAATTACTTGAGTAAAATATATACATATTTTAATATAATTCTTTACAAAAAATATCTACATTTTGTACGGTCTTAATCCCTAAATTAATGTATAGCTTATTTAAGAATTTGTTGCAAAACAAAAAAAAAAATTGAATTCAATCATCTATCTGCTTTTTTAGATTTTATTATATATGAAATATTCTTATGAAAATGTATGCCTGTGCCATTGTGTTACAATAATTAATTAAAATATAAATTTTTCTATTTACAAATAAATCATATTTAAATGCTTATTATATATATACATGTATAAATATGAATATAAATCGTATTTCAATATTTCTAAATTTAACTATAAATATATATAGTTTTGTTTAGAATTAATTTTTCCTTAATCTTAAATTAAACATTTAAGTTTAAAAGTACATACATACAATAATTAGAAAACTTAATGGAAGAGAAATTGTATTTAGAATTTCCAAATAAAGGTTTATTTGAAATTCAATAAAATTGATTTTTTGATAATATGGAAGCTTTAATGTTATTAATAAAATGATCTTATATTAATTAAATAATAAATCATAATTATATTGAGAATTAAAAAATATTATGGCGATAATATTTATTTTCTTAGTATTATTATACAGAAAATGATTTTAAAATTAAATAAAATAAAAAAATATTTTGCAACATAAGTAATAATAAAAAATTTCAATGAAATTGCCAAAAAATGAATGAAGTGAATTAGAATTTTGAATTTTCTTTCTTAAAAATGTACATATAAATATTTCATTTGAAATGTATGTTATTTTATGTTAATTATGATTATCGTATTATTATTTCTACAAGAATTAAATACCTTTCTTTAAGTGAAGCATTTGATTTTTCATTATCTTTGATGGCAATTTTATTTACATCTTTTGCATGAGCTTCTTTTTTAGCACGATCATCGTCTTCTTGTTGAACTATTTGCAATATTTGATTTGCTCGATCTTCAGAATACCCAACACTTTCTAATGCCATTGAAACTATACGTTCTGTTATTTTGGGATATTTTTCTTGAAGATGAACTTTAACTAAAAAAAAAAAATAAGTAAGTGAAAATGGTTCATAAAACAATTTTAGAATTAATAAATTACAATTATTATAAAATTATAAAGAAACTTACTATTTTCTTTCTCTTCTTCAGTTAATTCCTTAGGGTGAAGTGGAATTATTTTTTCTGCTTGTTTATTATCTTTTTTATTCTTTTTATCTGATTCAATTTTATGAGGATTTGGCATTATTGGTACGTCGCGTTTCGTATAACCCATAGCACTAAGTTTTTCGGAAGCCTTTTGAACTATAAAACAAAATATGAATAATTTAAAAAAAATTAAAACATATAATTTTAAATTTCATTCTATAATATTATTTTACCATTATTGTCTGAATTTGCTAATACATCCAATAATAATGTTTCATCGGCTTTTGGAAAAATGTTTTTCATATACCTTGTTCAAAATAACAAAATATAATAAATAAGAAATATGTCCAATAATATTTAAAATGTTAGTTTTTAAATTAATTTTGTTAAAATTTGTAATAAAATTATGAAAATTTATTCAAAATTAAAAACAAAAGAAAATAAAATAAAAGAGAACATTTAAAATTAAATAACAGCAATAATGTATTTTAGTGTTGTTAATGTAATTTGTATGCACAACAAAGTACAATACCTAAAAATTAATTGTTTTTTACACATAAATTAGTAATAATACTATATTAGATCTATAAATTAAATATTTAGTTAATATAATTGAAACGGAGACCCTTTTTTAGTTAATGAATAAAAATTAATTATTTATTCAATAAATATTTTTTTTACTGCTTTTAATAAATAAATAGTTAGGTAACCTTTAAAAATTTTCAATTTGTATTTTTATGTGCCATACGATATGTATACAATTTTTCCTAATGAATCCTCTTTAACTGCACACGTGCTCATTATGCATTAGAAAAATATTTTCAATTTAATAAAAAAGCCTTAGAAAGAAAAGTCATTTGCGAAAGCCACATTGACTTAATTGCAAATATATATTTAGTATATTTTATATTTTTATACATTTTATTGTTAAAATCTTGACAATAAAATTAATGGAAATAAAAACGAAGGAGTAGAGAAAATTTGCAAATTTAATTTAAAAAAAAAAAAAAACGAAAAATTGTTGTTAAAAGAAACCATCAAATAAGAAATGAAAAAATTTAAGCTTCTTTGCAAAATATGAAAAAAATTATAAAAAGCAAAAATGATTTAAACATAAATAAAAAATTCAAAAATTTTACGTAAAAAAGTTATTTTTTTAAACAAAAACAGATTTTATACTATGTATTGTATGTTATCAACCTTAATTTCATTTTTGGTGAAGAATGTGGTTTTGGCGAATTACGTATTTGTTCTCCAATTTTCGGTGATCCATATAGATGTCCGATTAGTCCATTTTTAATATTTGATGGACGAAAACTTGAAGAACTTGGCATAGGACTACCAGATCTAGAATAGTAGTCTAAACGGTGTGTTGGTGGTGTTAATTGAAATGCAGAATTACTCTGATTGAACAAGTGACGTTGAATTGGTGGAGTTGTATAAGGTCCAGGAGTGCATAGTGGATGCTTTTCAACTTGTAAAGCACTTATTACTACAGCTTCACGATTATAATATCTTTGATTTTATATTTATACAAGTATATAATTTTTTTGTTTTGTTTTGATTTACATTTTTTAAAGCATTTTTTTTTTTTTTTAGTAGATTATACAAAGTGTTCAAAATATTATATTTATACATTAGTGGAAAGCGTGAAAGCAAAAAGCATATTACAATGTGATTTTAGTTTTTATATGTTAAAACTCACAAAATAAATACAAATAATGTATTTATTACAAAATAAATACAAATAAAATAAAAAAAAACAAAAATACATAAACTTACTTTTTCAAAAGTAATCGAATATGATTTTCACCAGCTGTTGGAAACATGGTTTGAATTTTCGAAACCACAGCATTTGTATCAATTTGATTAGTGAATGAGGTTTCTTGCATTGGTATAGATTTGCGACGATTTGATCCTAAACTATCAATTCTTGGAATATGTGGAGAATCGTTTGTTCGTAATAATGGTGTTTCCTAAAAAAAAAAAAAGAAAAAACATATGGTAGATGTTTAATATATGAACTCTAAATGTACATATATATGTACGTATGTACATATATGATCTTATTTGTGACAAATCATTCATACCTATAAATATGTATACATAGACAACGTAAATTTACAAAATGTTACATACCATTGTCATTTGACTAGCTGTTGACATTAAAGGACTTCCAGATATACTATGTATGCTAGAATGCGGTCCCTGAAATGCCCTTACAGCTGTAAAATTATTTACTGGATAAACATGATAGGGGGATCCATGCATAGGCTAAATCCAATATTAAAAAAAATAAAAAAAAGAAAAACACAAAAAAAAAATTTTTAACAAACATTAACTCCAACAAAAACTTATTTTACAAAAATACTACATATTTACATATTTTATACTTAAAACAAAAAAAAATATTGCATGTATTAAAAAACACATTATTTAATCCTTTATTTAACGAAAACAATGTCATTTTTTTATATAAAACTTTACCTGCAATGGTATAGATTCTATTGAATCATTCTGTAATGGCATATAACCAATTCTGGGATCTTGTAATTGCATAGCTTTTGTTAGATAATTAACGTAATAGCTAAAATGAAAATAAAGGAAAATTTATTTTAGTTTAATATTAATTTTAAAAAAAATATAAGGTACATAGAATATATTAGCACTACGCGTACCTACATATGCTAACATAATTACAAAGAATATCAAGTAACCATAGTGAAAAAAGATGGTACGAGATACAAGTATTTCAATTGAAATGACATCATAAACCAATTAAAAATTTTTAATTAAAGGTTTTGAATTTACTCGTAACTCTTCCTATATAATATGCATATGTGTTATATACATACTATGTATTATATGTAAACGTTCATGTACTGTAATTTTCAATACATTTCTCCACACCTATTAAAAAAAAACCCACTACGCATATACATACATTTCTTGCAAGAGCTGTTTAACTTTAAAATCAACATATGTATGTATGTAGGTAAAAGATTTTTACCCCCAGCAATTATTGATTTATCATTTAAATTTATTTAAAAATTTTATAATATGAACTGACTTTATATACTTGTAGAAGAAATGTTATAAAATATTGTATTAATTTCAAATAAAATTCACACTGATTGTTGTGAACAATGAATTTTTCATCATTTTATACACAATTTACTAAACTTTTAAGATAAATCTCAGGTATAGATAAGGAAATTTCCTACCTACTTGGAAGTTTTTTTTTAGATTCCTATAGCTAAATTGAATTTTTTTCAAATACATTTACCATCTTCCACTACTTTCATCGTATTTGCAGTCCCAACCTGGAGGCAATAAATTCTTTTTTTCAGACATCACAATTTTTTTAATTTTCTATTTTGTAAACGATTTGATTATTTTTAACAAATCTCAAATCAAATGCCAATTACTTTTTGTTTACCAAAAATTTTCTCTCACCAGTATCTACTCAATTTCTTATCTTTGACTTTGACAAGCAACAATATGCCACTTGCTGCAGTTAAAAGTTTTATTTCGAGTATCGAATCAATTATCAGGGATGCTTTGTAAATAAAATGTAATCTGCATCAACTTAAAATTTTTCGAGTAAAAGTTTAAATGCAATAAACATGCAAGAGGAAAAACCATTACTTAAATCATTATTTTGAAAAAACTTCGTAAATTGAATAACCAGATCTGTTTACTTATGAAAAGTTTTAGTTTTCGCACAATCCTTTCGCGAGATCGTATTAAAAATTTTAACCTAGTATCTTAGTACAAAATACAAGACTTAGCTTCGTTCACCAAAGCATATTATTTTTCAAAATTTCTTTCACTTAAGATTATTATTTAAGTTTTTGAACCTACAGAAGCTATACAAATAAAATTAATTGATGATCGCTTTCTCTTGTTGAAATTTTTCAATACTATTTATTTGATTAAATTCAATGTTTTTTCTCTGTTATTGTCCGATCATTTGTTCAAAGATATGAACAGACTATTGCCATGTGTCAGTCAAAAAAAAATTTTTTTTGATTTATGAAACAAAATAAAAATAAAATTGGTAAACATTAACCCAAACTAAACATAGCTACACATTTTTCGAATCGATTTAAAAAATTGCAAAATGTTAACTAAATTTTCAAAAGGCGTAACTTATTTTAAGTTCCAATCCTCATTAAAATTAAGAAGATACTTAACAAAAAGTTGTACCGGTCTTGAAGAAGTATGTAAACACAACGTAACAAATGCAGAAAAATTTTTACTTTTTATATAATTACATATTAGGGCAAGGAATTAACCCTTCAGATTAAAACTAATATTGAAAAATATTGGCAAGATGAAGTTAATAAAGGCGAGTTTCATCCTCAGAATGTAACCAAGGATAATAAGTTTTATGTACTGTCCATGTTTCCTTACCCCTCCGGTAATCTTCATATGGGTCACGTTCGCGTATATACAATTAGTGATGCCATGGCACGATATTATAGAATGAATGGAAAAAATGTTTTTCATCCAATTGGTTGGGATGCTTTTGGTCTTCCTGCTGAAAATGCGGCTATCGAAAGAAAAATAGATCCTGCTGAATGGACAAAACAGAATATTAAACAAATGCGAGAACAATTAAAAAAGCTGGGATGTTCATTTGACTGGGATCATGAAATTGCAACTAGTCATAAAGAGTATTATAAATGGACACAAAAACTTTTTCTTTTGATGTATGAAAAAGGTTTAGCTTATCAAAAGAATGAATTAGTAAATTGGGATCCTATAGATAAAACTGTTTTGGCACATGAGCAAGTTGATATCAATGGCCGTTCATGGAGGTCTGGAGCAAAAGTTGAAAAAAAAATGTTAAAGCAGTGGTTCATTAAAACTACGAAATTTGCAAAACAATTGTTAGATGGCTTAGATGATCCCATTTTGCAGGAGTGGCGGGATATTAAAAACTTACAAAGACATTGGATTGGTGAATGTGATGGATATTCGTTTGATTTCGAAATCAAGAACGATAATGAAAAAGTAGACATTATAAGAATTTGGACTGATAGGCCAGAAATTTTACTAGACCAAAATAGTTTTGTTGTTATTAAAACAAATAATCATCTGGCAAAATTTGAAAACATCGAGCTACAAATTTATAATCCATTTAATAAATTAAAGGTCCCGATAAGACTATTTGATGATGTAGAATTTCCCTTGGGATGTGATTATTATTGGGCTGCACCTAGTTTTAATGAAAATGACAAAATTTTAGCAGAACTTTTAAATGTAGATTTAAAAACCAATTATTTCGATACAACGGAAAAGTCATATCGCCAAGCTGTTATAAAAATGGCAAAAAATTTGGATATTGGAGGATATCCCGTAAGCTCAAAATTAAAAGATTGGTTAATATCCAGACAAAGATTTTGGGGCACACCAATTCCTATAATACACTGCGATATATGTGGTGCTGTGCCAGTGAAAGACGAAAATTTGCCATTTTTACCAGTTCAGCAAGCATTAAGCACCAAAGATAATGATAATGAAATATTAGTTCCGTGTCCAAAATGTGGTGGTCAAGCAAAAAGAGAAAAGGATACTATGGATACATTCGTTGATAGTGCGTGGTATTACTTAAGATTCTTGGACCCTAAGAACAAAGATAAAATTTATGATCAAAATTTAATTGATAAATGTATGCCGGTGGATTTATATATTGGTGGAAAAGAACACGCTGTTTTGCATTTATATTATGCCAGATTTATTAATCATTTTTTGTACAGTATTGGTATGTCACCTCATTCTGAACCTTTTAAAAGACTTCTTGTTCAGGGAATGGTTATGGGTCAAACATTTAAAGATAAAAAAACAGGCATGTATTTAAATGATAATGAAGTAGAAATAGTAGACATGAAAAAAGGTAAAGCTATTTCTAAATTGACTAAAAATCCTGTAACTGTTATGTGGGAAAAAATGTCTAAATCTAAAAACAATGGTGTCGATCCTAATCAAATAATTGAAGAATATGGGAGCAACACAACAAGACTAATTTTATTGGCTGATGTTGCCCCTACATCACATAGAAATTGGTCAAAAGCAAGTAAGACCTATAAAAAGAAATTTATTAAATAAAAGTTTAATAAGTTCTATTTCAATAACAGCTTTTCCTGGAATATTGAATTGGCAAAAAAGACTGTGGTTAACAATTAACGAGTTTGAGGAATTACGGAAAAGCAATGATATTGAAGATTCCTCAAATACTTGCCCCGTTTTTAAAAATGAAGATTTGAAACTTTATGATGCTAGGAATTATTACGTGAAAGGAGTTACCTTTAATTTCAAACATTCGTATCAGTTAAGTGTAGGAATATCGAAAATGCAAGGACTGACCAATGCTTTGAGAGTAAAAAAACCTGACTCTTTGATATTAATCAGCAAATAATTTACATATTAATTTTTCAATTTTAGAGAGCTCCTAAAAATGTTATTAAGTTCGGAAGTCATTATGAAACGGCTTTGGCGGCTCAATTGATTATGCTTGCGCCCATAGCACCACATTTCGCATCGGAATTATGGTCTAGATTTTGTTCTACGCCTAATAGAATAAATACAAACCTTGTTGATATAGAATGGGATCGAGACGTTTTACGTCAAAAATGGCCTGATATTGATATGGAATATAATTTAGATTTCACTGTTAAAGTAAATAGGACTTTTTTAGATATTTTTCTTTTGTAATATTCCAATATTTTTATTTGCAGATAAATGGTTTTGAAAATTGTATTGTTAAAATCCCGCGGAAGCAGTTAGACTATATCACTTACGAAGAGGCGATGGACATTGCATTCAATACGGAATCTGTTACATCTTTTGTAACGGACCGTAAAATCAAATCGTCAAATTTAATTTTGTATAAAGGTGTTGAGGCAATCTTAAATATTTATTTGGAAAAACCGTTAAACAAAGAGGTTAAAATGTTGTAGCATTAATTGTTATTTTTTTCTTTTTTTAAAATAAATTCATTTATAAATTATTTTTAAAATAAATAAGTCTTTAATCAGTCATCTAATTGGCATAATGACGCTGTGCCCCGAATAATCCAATGTTCTGGCTTAACGACCGTGTCTAATTGAATATACATTACGAAATTCGTCGAATGACCAGTGGTTGATAGTGTGCCTTTCCTTTCACTTGTTTTATAAATGGGGCATTCATATTGCTTATCGTTTTTTCTCATTCGTTCTGAAGATCTTAAATCAGGTATTAATTTTATTACAGGAATAATATCGAATAGTATCTTTGGTAACGATTCATCTAAGTGCATCAATTCTCGATTCCATCTTGCGCCCTCAAGAAACAGTCCCTTAAATTATAAAAAATGAATTAAAGTATAAGGCATAGATTAATTTTATACTTTCACGAAGGTGCTATATTCATCAGACTCGCCTACATCATCACCAGGCATTACTTCAAATCGTATTCCAACTAAATCAATTTGAAATTTATTTCGTCTAGCATGATTTTGTAATATACCAGTTAGAAACGATTGTGTAAAATAGAACCCTGATATCCAAAAAATATCTGGCGCTCCATTATCCACCCAATTTTGGAAAAATGATAATCTGAACAATTTGAATGAGAAGTGAATTATCTGTTTTAAAAGAAATTTAATTACAATGTACCTTGTAATTAAATCATTAATGTAACTTCCAAGTGGTTTCAGAGATGGATAACTTTTTTTCAACCAATCGGCTGGTAATTTTCCTACATTAATTGAGTTATAAGTTCTTTCTAATTCAGGAACCATAGCTATTTTTCCTTGAATAGCTTTTTGAACGTTTACAAGACTTTTTCTGATATAATCTAAAAGTTTATTGAATCTGCAAGTATGAAAAAAATATTTTAGAAAGATACTATTAAAGCAAAATTTACGAAACGAGACCTAAGATCCCATATATTCATGTTTTTTACCTTATTAATTCTTGTCTCAAGATCGTATTCATTGAATTGTTATAAACTACGGGATATTTTAAAGATATATCTCTAATATTGAACGTATCAGGCAGTCGATCCAGGATGTTTGTACATAATTGATATATTGGATCAATCACTTCTCTTTCTTTACCTATACTAGTTTTTGTTGATGCAAGTAAGGAAGTTTGAGTAAGCAATACTCCGTCTAATAACTAAAATTGTTTGGAATAAGTATCAATGAGAAATTTTGAGATAATTTTTCGAATTATGTGGCTAACCGTGCGGGTTTCTTTAGTATTTTTACTTATATCGGCATTTTCATGTAGTCCAAATACCTCTGGATTTGGACTAAGAGGGAAATTACTTATATATTCAATGCTATTTAAGCGATTAGGTACTAATGGAATTTTATAATCTCCGGAATCTGATAAGCAAAATTCATCCACATCAATTGAATTTTGATTATACACATTATTAAGCAAACACAATATTAATCTTCTATCTTTGTCATCGGTTACCCTGCCACCATAATTACATTCTCCAGTTAGATATACATGACCTCGAAATGGTATAGTTTCCGTTTGTTTAATAAACATTTTTAATTGCATTAAAGATATTCTAAAATAAAAGAAATTTTTAAATAAAAATTATTTAAAACACTTTCATTTTGAAAATTTTTAAATTACTTTAAATCGGACTCATTAAATTCGTATGGTATATTCCAACCCAAATGACCAAATTCTCTTCTCTCTTGTATAACAGCATGAAAAAAGACTAATGCAAAAACTCCCCTTAACCAGTATTTTGCCATATCACCGGAAAAAGCATTACTAAAAAATTTATCTCTCACTAAGGGGTCAGAATTATATGAACGTAACATATTCATTTTCAATCCTTTTGGCGATTCATTTGTCATTTTAACACTATTTTGTAATACCGAAACTGGAAAAACTTTACTAGGATATGAAGTACACCATAATCGATAATCTGCGTGAGCATTTGCTAAACTTGAATCATTACATATTCTTTCTAATTCATTCATCCAGCTTTCTGCAACATGGCAATTTTGCAAAACAACCCATTCACCCGCTTTTGCACCCTCATAAATCATTTTTTCGGCTCGTGGACCTTGTCCCTGTCCAAGTGAAATTAATTTTGTTCTTGAAAAATGTAAATTCAAGTCGTTTAATTTAATCATTCATAAAGTTGTATAATATGAAATTATTTTAACTTACTTATCATACATATCTCTTTGTTTTGCATACATTATTAAACTTGCCATTGGATCAGATCCAGATGATAATAGAAAAACTAATGGAACAGTGGGTGAACTTTCAGCAAATGAAGAATGAAGATCAAAAGGCGGAGGTTCAACAAATGATTTATCCATATTCATAGTAATAAATCTCTAAAATTAATGCATATTTTAAAAATATTTAAATGAATTTAAATAATTTTTACCCTAGCCGCTGGTATAATTTTATCGGGTCGAATGCATTTCAATAAAATTAAACCCATTAACTGATCAACATCCGTAAATGGTGCCGGGAATTTTAATTCTTCTGGAGTAGTAGATTCGTACAACTTTTTCCACTCATCAATATTTTCTGAAAAATGTATATGCAGGTTTTCAAGCCTATAAATTTAAATATCTTGATGAACACAAATTCGACAAAAAAAGAATTTAGTTATTTACCCTTTTAATGTACTTGCTTGTACAATTTCTAACCATGATTTCTCGGATAACCATTGTGGAGCTGGATTTTTATTTGGATTTTCGAAAACTCTGCCACCAGTTAGCAAAAATATAAAATGTTCTTTATCGATTTTATTCTACAATTATTAAAGAAATTGTTATTTTTTTTTTTAATTTTTAAAATTTAACATCATATCTTTATTTATTTACTCTTGATAAAAGAATCCCAGTGCACATAACAAATGAAATAACTAATTTATCTTGTTCAAATAACGATCGGCAAACATTTTGATAAATTGATTTTGTAAAGTAGTCATTTAAATTTTGTAAACGCAACTGCAAATCATCAGATTTTGGTGCTTTCAAAATAGTATTAACGAATAGATTTTGAAACCATGCTAGCGAATATTGATACATTGGATTTATTCCAGCTAATTCACTTATACAAAAAAATAATATAGCTGAATGATTTGATACAGGAATATATTGCAATCTAGCTGAATCAATTTCCTTTTCAGTTTCAATTGCAATTATTTGTTTTTCTTGGATTTCCTCTGATAATACCTTACTAGACGATAAAATGTTGATTGCATTTTCATCCTCTAAAACGTTCCCTTCAGAACAAGACAGAACCTAATTAAAAATATTTTGTAGTATTGTAACAATACTTTATATTAAAACAAAATCATGCATGTAACCTCTAAAATTTTTGATTCAATGTTATATAAAGCATCACGATTTGCAGCTGACTCAACAATTAATTGTTCTTTCTTTTCTTGTAAATCGGGACGTTCGTGTGCTACAACTGTTGCTAATAATTGTTCTCGTAATCCTTGTTCAGTAATCATAAAATTTATAATTGTAACCATTACCATAGTTTCTGGAGAATAATGTGGATTGCGTAAACATGTTGTAATGTATAAACGAAAATTGTGATTGTAATCCAAAAGATTTTCCCCACACTTAATATAAAAAGCACCTTTTTGTTTGATAACATTTTTTTCAAGAATTGGCGATAGATTTGGATCTAATTTTTCACCTAAAAATATATACATACATACATACATATGTAAAAAAGTAAAATATTGAATTTTACGAGATTAAATTTGGTATTTTATAACAGTTGCCAAGAAATCTGTACATATGTAAATATTTACATACCAACATTTTCAATTAAAACTGGTGTACCTAATTCCATAGATGATTCTAATACTTTCATATAATTATCATCAGTTAACTTAACAACTTGAATATTATTAACTTTTTCCATTGTTTTAATCCATTTATTTGCTTGTTCTAAAATTTTTAATTAAATTTTCCTGAAATTTTAATCCGAAATTTTAAAATTTCGTATTACCTTGAGGATCAATCATTAATGGATATCTATTGGAGTTGGCAACAATAATTGCATTTTCTACCGAAAAATTATCCGCTGGCAAACCAGCTAATGACCAAGCCCTAATCTTCATTGGATGTCCTAAAGTTGTTATTAAAGAAAATTTTTCTGAGCATGGAATTTCTTTTTCAATACATAACTGATTCCAACAATTAATAATATTAGCACGATACTATAAATATACATGAAATAACATAATAATAATTTTAAATTTCGAAAAAAGATTAATTTTATTTAAATTTTATTTATACTTCAGTCGGAAAAAATCCTAAATAAGCAATACATCCAGCAGCAAGTAATACATCACCAACAACATTATGAAGTGATTTATGTAACCGATTTGCTGATTCAGACCATCTAGTTTTTTCACCTCCCAAACCACCTAGTAGTTTTTCAGCTCTATACAAATAAAGTATATTTGAAATGGCGTAAAATATTTTAGTTATATTAAACCAACCTATTTAATTTCTTTTCGCAGTTATCAATTTCATCTTCTAAACCTTTTTTCTCACGTGATTTTTCAGCAAAATAATCATTTAATTTCTGTAACTTATCTAAAACATCCTGAAGTTCAGCTCGTTTAGCATTTAATTTTTCCATTTGTGCCTGTAATTCAGTTTCCGCTTCGGCTAATGCTAATTTTTTTGGTGCAACAATCTTTGCAACTTTATCATAAACGTCCATGGCACGAACCCATCGACAGAGACCTTCACATGCTGTTGAAGCCGATTTTATTTTATCTGGTATAAAATCGCGATCTGGTATATATCTATATAAAAGAATATTTATGTGCGTTAATTTTAATTCAAGTTGATGGAAATAGAGCATTTTAATTAGAAATATCTTGAAAATGCTCTACTTCTTTAATTCTAAGCAACAATGTAAGGAAATCCAGACACAAATACTTGTGACTGCGTTATTTTTATATGGCTATTTTACTATACAAGGCACATGTTTAGATGGAAAAAATGACTCTACTTTTACAATCCTTTTTACTTAGAATTCCAAAATTTTGTGAATTTTTTCATTAAATTGTTAAAGTGATACGATTTGGAAAAATATAATTATATAAACTTACTTTTCTCGTATTTTTTTAATGTTTGCTTGTGGAATATTATCTTTATCAAAAGTTTTTAGATTTTCTAAAAATTTCATATCCCCTAACATTTTCTGTGATGGAGTCCAATAATCTTCTCCCATTCTGCCAGCTTATAAATTTAAATATATTACTCTCATCAACCATTATGTATTGGTAAATATTATAAAATAAATTAAATGCATTCTTACTTGCATCGGGTTTCCTATCTGGTTTTATTCCTTTTATAACACATACTGCTTCTAAGACAAGTTTAACAGCATATGGAGGATTTTTCATTGATTTAACAACAACTATATCGGCTGGTTTAAGTGTATTTAGAGCATCAAGTGCTGATTCTAAAGCTGGTATAGCTTCAGCTAAATCACTTTCACAATCATCTTTAATAGCTTGTGCAGCAGCTGCAGCTTCATTAGCAGCTGCTTCATCAGCACCAACAACTTCTTTTTTCTTTTCAGCTTCAGCTGTTTCACGTTCAATATTAACCATTATTTTATCAGTTTCTTCTGATAAAATTTTTAATTGTGGTTGTAATTTATAAAGATTTTCTTGCATTTCAGTAACTTGTGATGCAGCAAAATCTAATTTCTCCAAACCAATTGTGTATCTAGATAGTAAAAATAATTTTCCATTTTATGAACTTTTATTTTCTAAATTATATGTATGTATGTATGTATATTCACCGATCTCTTAACTGAACGATTTCATCATATTTTTTGATATAAAATGACTTAAATGATAATAACATTTGTAAATATGATGTCGGTGTAACATAGTTTTGTCTTCCAAGTTCTGAGAAACATCTAAAAATAAATTTTAAATAATATTATTAATTTATTTTAAAAAGATTTTATGTAAAAATATGGTGCCAACTTTTCACTAGCTTCCGTAATTGATACATTGAAAAATATTACAGATTCAACTAAGGCTTTTTCCAAATCAGAAAGTATAATTTCTTGTATATTTTCAATAGTTCCAGTTGTTTTACTGTCATCTACTTGAGCGGATTCATCTTGAATAACAGGATTTTCTTTTTCCTCTTCTTCTTCTTCTTCTTTATTCAAATTCATTGAACCTATAAAATATTCTGCAACTCGTACTAAAGCATCATGAGGCCATGCAATGAACCTAGGAAAAATTTTGAATTCGTATATACCAATGTGTATATGATTTTTTTCCAAAATTTTACCAGTCGATTGTACAACAGTTAACTAATGATGGGAACATTCTTAAACGTTCTTTAAATGCTTCACCAATTGGAGTAAAAGCTAATGCAAAATGTAATTGATCTTTAATTTGTTCAATATAAAATCCAAAAACTTCTGTTGGTGTTCCATCGAGTTTCTTATCCTTTTAAATTTAATTTATTATTAATGCATTAATAATAATAATAAGATAATAACTTACAAGCTGTTTAGCCACAGTTGTCATATTTTCCATAATAGTGGCTTTCTCATCGGCTTGATATAAATTTGGTAAATCGCCGGTATTTAAAATAGCGTTAATATCTTCAATAAATCCTTCATCTGTAGCCTATATAATATATAAATAATAAATGTAATTAAATTTATTAAAGACTAATCTTTGATAAAGTGATGCAATTCATGCTTTAAAAACATATTGTCGGCCAAAAATATTTCTTATTGTTTTTTTTTGCCTTAAAGATATTTAATACAATATTTTCGCAAGATATTTTGTTAGTTCATTAAAAGAAACTTAATATTTGCATTTAAGTGAATCTCAAACTTTTTTATTATAAAATTACATAATTTTAGTAAAATAAAAACACAAACTAAATCACTTTGTAAACGAATTTATGTAGTAAACCTACTGCATATAATATACCTATGAATTCCGTTACATATAAAGTAATTGTATTCATTATAAATGAACGAATGAATACATTTATTTTTTATGAGTAATTGTATTCATTTAGAAATGTTACAATTACTTTATATATTGTAAATTTAAATTCACTATTATTAATGTATCAAAATTTTTGTTTTGTGTATGTGAAAAGTCAAATTCTAAATTATAATTTTCAAAATTATGCATAGTGTTAATGGGACACATTTATTAGTGCAGTTACTTTTTATATGATTACAATACAAAATCAATAGAAAATACTTATCAGTTTATTCAGTTACTTTACCTTATCTAATATTTCTGACTGGTTTGTTTGTTTTATTAAAAATATAATTATGTGTCGTTTAAAAATAGAATGAAATAAAATATTTAATAAATTACAAATAAATGCTTAAAATTCTAATAATAACCATAATGCACATATGTACCTGAGTATCTGAGAACATAAAAATTGTTGGTTTTAAATTAAAACCAGCATGCATTAAAGTATTTTTAATATCATCTCTCCAATCATTTGTTGTATATGATTTTGTAATATTAACTGTTAATAATTTGGCATCACATATATTTGCAGCTAATTTAACAGAACTTCTTCTACCAGAACCACCAACACCAACCATTAATATATTACCTCTCTTCATTGTTAAAACTCTTGTAACTCTTTATAAAATAAAATATTGCATAATACTATTTATAATTTTTACTATTTCATTATTATACCTTGAAATATGCTCTATTGCAAATCTAAAAAGTACCAAATCCATTGGCGTATTCGAAAATGTATTATAATCTTGTAAATAAAAGTGCATAACTTTTTCTAATTTTTCATAACTTTCAACTTCATCATAAATTTTTGGATCAGCATCCGGTTCCATATAATTTCCAAAAAATAAATTTCTTATATGATCAGTAGTTACGGTTTCTCCTGATGGTATACGTTTTCCAAAAATTTGTTCAAGTGAAAATCTTAAATTTTCTTTACAAGTTTTTCGAACAATATTTAATAATTCTTCTCGATCATTTTCATCAATTAAACTTTTGAAAAACAAAGAAAAAATAAATTAAAAACAAACACGATTTTTTAATTAGCAATAATTCAAATAAATTTACCGATCATAATAAACCCTATATGTTTCATGACACCATAATCTGGCAAATTTATCTGCATCAGATAATCTTTTTGGTGGTACCATAATCATGCCCTGAAAAACTCTTGTTACATCTCTCAAAGAAAATGTATAATGAGATTTTAACGGTGTTGGTAAAAATACCGATAATGCCATACAATATGTTTTTACTAACGCATCAGCGAGACCCTTTAAGTAAAATTTTGAAATATATAAAATTTTTTTTATATAATATATGTACATAATATATTGTTTTAAAATTAACACACACCTTTAATAAATATTGAATTTTTTCAGAATATTTCTTTGAAAAATGCCATTCACCTAATACTGTAAAAATTCGATTTATTGTAGTATCTTTAAACGTATCAACAGCTATTGTAAACGTATGACGATAAAATCTAGGAAAAATGAAATTACTGCCACCTAATTGACCCATTGCACCAACAAATTGCTATAAACAATGGCATTAGAAATATGTTTTGGAAATTTTTTATTATGTTTCAAAATATTTTCATCTAAAACTTACCAAATCCAATAATTCTAGTTTTGTAGTGTCTTTTAAATCTGACCAATACCCATGATCTAACCAGGTTCTGATTAATTCAAGAGGCGGTTGTGCACCATATGTATCTTTTGATGGCATTGCCAAATCATCACAAAAAATTATAAACTATAATTTTGAAAAATTATTATAAAAATCATAATTATTAACTTGATTTTATTTTAATAAAACGAAATAGAAATGTAATTTTGTGCTGCAAGATTACCTTTTTCCCAACTGGTGGACCAAAAGCTCCTTTACGTCTTCTATCCAATTTTGTCATAATTGTTTCTTGAACCTTAAAGAATAATAATAAATTTATAGTGTAAAAATCTGGATATTATCTGTGTTATAAAAACTTTAAAACTCATACCTGTTGGGCACTTGTTCTTGCCGATAAATTTATTGTATTTATCATATATGAATTTTTGGATAAATTATAAATATAATTCGAAATAGTACAACTTTTACCAGTACCAGTTGGACCACTTAATAACATTGATATTTCTTTTTCTATACAAAATTCTAACCAATATAATATGTAACCAGTTTCTTTTGTTGGTACAATTAATTCACTTAGTTCAGCATTTTCAGGAAAATTAATTTCTTCAGATTTTTGCCATGGCCACCAATTTTCATTCTCATCAAATTTATAATCAATATATAATAATTTTTCTGGCCATAATTGTCCTTTATTTAATGAATAATATTTTGATTTTGGGTAATCTTCATCTTTTCCAGTTAATATTTTACGTATTCTCATATCAAAATGTGTATGTCCTTCAACTAAAATCAAATAAATGTACACAAAAAATAATTTATATTTTAATTAAACAATTAAATAAACCTGTAAGAGCAGAACCATATGCCCATCCAAAACAAAAAATAAAAGTTTGTTGGAACCACACTTGATTATATGATGTTTGCTTATCCAAGAAATGTGAAAATAATATAGTTAACATCTTAAATAAAAAAATGTATTAAATATTTTTTTTTATATTCACAATAATATAGCATATTATTTTTTAATTACTTTATACTGATACAATGATGACGTCTCCAACATAGCTTTACATTCTTTTAATACATTTAAGGCAGCTGGAATTATCCATTCTACTATATCTGTATATAAATTGAAATAGATATCATTTAAACCCTCGTACTTTTCTAAAACTTTCATAAAACTATGATGAAGGGCTTTCCATCCCAACATATCTGGTTCCATGTAAATCATACCACAACGTGATACTGTAGCTGGTGATGCTTGATCTAAATCCGCTGGTTCAAACATCATATTCATTGTTTTTGACATTTGAATTATTTCACCAGACATTAAACATAAAATTTTATTATCATCTAAAACAGTATTTAAACTTTCAATCCAAATAGCATCAACTGGTCCATCAAACATAACCCAATATCTTTCAGTTTTAGAACCATTTGCAAAATCACGAAATGTTTTTGCTAAAACACCATCTGACCATTCATGTGAAACAGAATCAAAACAACCATATAATTGACCCAAAGTTATAGCTTTTGGATTTATTATTCTATAATTTGTATAAAGTTCCTTTTGAGTTGATTCATTATCTTTACTTAAACTGCGCAACACATTAGCTAAAGTCTTGAAGAAAGACAATAATGTTTTTAAAATTTTCAACTTTTTAAAATATGATTACCTGATAAGCAGTTGTTTTTCCAGCCATTGGACCACCGATTATCATCAAACCATGACGAACTAAAAGCATTTCATAAATTTGAAGAATTTTCTCGACATACCATTCAGTTGCCTGTAAATTTTTATCCTCTAAAATTTTCTTTATCCATTTAACCATATCTTCTCGGGACGGCTATATATAAATATTGAATTAAAAGAACATTATTAAAGTTAAAAATGATTAGAAAGAAAGCTAACCTCGGGCAATTCTATTTCAGGAAACAAATCCATATAAATCCCTTTAAATAATGAGACATCTTGTTCTAAAAATTTTGGTAAATTAACATCGACAATAGCTCTAAGTACGATTTTTTCTTCAGGTAAATTCTGATGTATACGACGTAATGCTGCTGATGCTAATAAAACTGATTTTACAGCTCTCATGCCATAATCATAATGAGTTTGTGATGACAACTGCTCTGAACATAATTTATAAGCTTGAACGATTTTTTGTGCTAAAGGGCGAGCATTATTAAACCCATTTGAATAAAGTGTAATTTCTCCGATCATAGCATAATCTGGTACCATCATTGCAACAGTACGAAAAAGAACTTTAAGATTGTCTGGTAATTCAGTACGTCCAGCATAACTACAATAAAAAAAAGGATTTTTCATTTATCATTTTATGGTAATTTAAAATAATATGTACATGTATATATTCTGGACATGTAGACGTACCCTGGGTTCATTGTTATAAAACAGGCGCAAGTTGGATCTAGTTTTAAGTACGCATCTTCGAAATAAAATTTCACAAGTTTTCTACCTATAGCACGTTGTAAAGTTAGTATTTGTTGTGCTACAACCGATAACACTTCCAATTCTATTCGATTGAATTCATCGAAACATGCCCAAGCGCCCGATTGTGCTAGACCCTGTTTTATAATACGAAGAAAGAATAATGAAAAAATAAATTTTTCTCTTACACATAACGTTCTCGTGGTACCTTAAAAAATTTTCCTAATGCTTTGTAATCCAAACCTTCGGAGCAATTGAAAACAACACATTTTTTTGCTACAGCTTTAGCTAAATCTTTACATGTTTCAGTTTTACCAGTACCAGCTGGACCTTCGGGTGCACCACCGAGGCATAATTTCAATGCCCCCATTAAAGTTCTAAAAATTTTTTTTTAACAAAATATACTCATTCAGGAATCATATTCAAAAAAAAAATATTTATGTACCTATAGCAGCGGTCAGTCAACGGAGTAACAACAAGGCGTGAAATATTTCCTAAATACTCTAAAGCATATCTAATATCTGTAACAACCATACTGACTGTCAGATAATCAATTTTACCTACAGAATATGATTTTAATTAAACCAAGTTACTTAACGTCTGAAAATAAAAGTTAATACTTTCTTGTTTCCATGAGTATCGCAACTGAGAAATCCAATCGAACTCGATAAGTGAAGAAATATTTTCATCTGCTAAATTCTTTGTAACATCTCGAGCTTAAAAATATAAAAATGATAAAGAGCCACCAAATATTTTCACAAACTTAAATCAAATACCATGAACATCGAGTATTATTAAAGCTTCAATTGTAATTCTCTGACCACTTGATAAAGGATTTCTCACTAGACCTACTAATTCGTCAATTTGTGTTGCACATTTATCTACATATTCAGAGATTTTATTAGCTTCAATTGCTTCTCCGGTCTTAAAATTTAATTGTTAGGTTTCACAAAAGAAAATTTTTATTATTTAGTATAAGTACCTCACTTGTCCAAGCTGTACATGCGATTGCTTGAACAATTTGCCCTGGCCATGTTAATACCCATCTTATACGTTCAATTGCAAAATAATCTTCCCAAGCTTGTTTTAACCGTTCATGAATAGTTTCAGTCATTACCATTTCAAGTTCTTTTAACCAGATTTCAACAAGTCCCTTACAGAATAATATATATGTAAAGAAATTTTAAATTAATTTCACGAAATTTTCATACACTCTTTTCAAAAAATTTCATTTAATGTAAAATTGTAGCTTACATTAGCAATAGCTGGACTAACTTTTTTTTGTAATTTAACAACTTCATCTTCTGATGAAATAATAGCTGTAATTTCCTGATTTTCATCAAAATTTAAGGCATATATCTATAAATCAAAAAAAATTAATAATGAGGATTTCTAATATATACATTTGGTAATTAAACTCACTCCTTCGAAACATTTCTTCATATGCGGTTGCACTCTCATTGGATCTTTAGTTTCTGATAAAATTTCTAACAATTCGTCATTAGATAAAAAGAAAAATCGAGCAAAAAATAATCTTTTCTGTTCTAAATACGAATTTAAACCTTTCTGAACACATTCTAAATCAATAACAGCTTTACGAAATATTTCTACTAAATCTGGATAATCTGTTGCTTCAATAACATTAGGATTTGTTGAAGTACTTTTCATTATTTTTCGCCATAATTTATCAACCTCAAAAGATTAATTAAATTGAACGTATTTAAAAATATTTAAATATTTATATTATTTTATACTTACAGCCTTAAAATTTCTACCTTCAATTGGCATTTGTCTCATAATATCTTCAGAACTAAAAATTGGTTCTAAATACATCCAAGTTGATTGCACCGTTATCCATGAATCAATAATATCTTGCATTGAAACTAATTTTTCTTCCCAATCATCCGCTTTTGTTCCCAATGCCGCAATAAATGGTGAACGTCTCATTGCTTGTGATTTTAATACTTGATCATCTAACAAAGTTTGTATATCATCAATTGATGCCAAAATAAATGTATCAGAATCACGATATTGTAATAAATCAAATTTAACTTGTTTCCATTCTAATTGCATTGCAATCAATTGATTATTTAATTCAAATTCTTTTCCGGCAGCATTTGATATTGTTTCTAACTCGGGTAAAATTGTCATAATGTCGGCATCAATCATATCTTTAGCCGAATTATATAATTCTGGATTAATTGGTTTGCCTAATGTATCAGAAATTTGATTCCAATGTCTTTCTTCTAAACCTTGACGACATATTGAATCTAATACTGGTAAATAAACTCTAAATTTATCAATTTTCATACGAACTTGTTCGGCAGCTCTTTTAGCCAATGGATTCGAAACTAATTGGCGGGTTAATTTAAAAATTATCTACGGATAACAGAAAAATAAAACGTTATTGTTAATACAAAACGTATTTATTTGTTCTTATAAACAAATTTACTTTATACATGCTGTCAACACTTTCTCTTATTGCATCAGCATTTAAGTTTTCAAATGGTCCGTACATCCTACAAGAAAGGAAGAATTCAAAGATTACAATTTATTTTATACAATTAGTGCCTTTTATCAAAACTACCATATCTCATAGCTATTTTCAAATTCAAATGCTGTTTTCCATAATTTTTCAATTGGCTCAAGTTTTTCAATTAGATCAGCTAGAACAGGAAATTGTGTTACTTCAAGTTGAAGTAATTCTTCTTCTACATTAATTGATTTAGCTTCTTTACTACAATTCTAAAGTAATAAAATATAAATCATATTTTTATTAATATTTAAAAATCTATAGCATGCAAAATCTTTTTCATAATTAAATTACCTCCAATATTTCAAATAATTCATTTACAGTTTCAACTCTTTCTCTAAGTTCTTCAATTGTTAAAATATCTCGAACTTCTTTTAAACGGAATGCATCAATTCTTTTCTTTTCAGTTAGTACATATTTTTCAAATTTAAGACGTTTCTCTCTTAAATTTTATATATAAATAAATACAAATCAATATAAAATATAAAATTGAATTAGATACCTGATAAGAACCTCAAGATTTTCTCTAACTACTAATAATCTACTTGCACTTAGGTCAAGAACTTTTTCTAATTCAGCTGGTAATAAAAATGTTCTTGTATTTAAATGAAGATCATCATCTACAAATAATAAAACAAATAATTACATTAAAATAAATTTGTATAAATTTAATTTTAAATAATAATTTAAAAATTTACGTGACATTGTTGAATAATATAAAAGAAATATAACTCTTTTCAAAGCAACTGCAATATCTTCTTTTATTTTATAAATTTTTTCATCCCGACATTCCATTAAATAATTTTGTAATGCAACAACTTCAACTGTTTCTTCTGGACGTTCCCCTGCTTTCATTGACATATCTTCTAATTCATTACATATCCTAAAAAACAAATTTAGAAATATATAGTTTTGTAGATATTTTAGTAGCTACATGTACCTTTTATTTTCATTACGATTTAATATTTTAAAGTAATTTGTTATATAATTTATGATATCATTAACAAGCATATCTAAGGTCTTATTAACATGTCTTGTATCAATCATAAATAAATTCATTGGTGTAAAATCAATCAGCATATAAATTTCTTCAAGCAATTCTCTTAAACGTGTCATTAACAATTGAAATGTCTAAAACAAAATAATTAATATCAAAGATATTGTAAAAATATTTATACGCATAAGCAATTTTTTCATAAATAAAAATAACAAAATTTCAAACCTGTAAACTAGGAATATTCCTTTGTGTAAATACATTTTGCATCATAGCTATCATTTTACCCGATAACAGAGGAAAATAATAAGTATAAATTGGATATAAATAAATTCTTGGACCTATCCAATTTGCTTCAATAATATCACAAATACTTTTATATAATTCTTCCATATCAGAATGACTTTCATGTATACAAAATAAATAGCCTAATTGATCCTCTCCTACAATATATAACAAATAAAGAGAAAAAAATTCTTAGAATTACAATTGATTTTCTATTTAATAATATTATACTTTGGGACATTAAAAATTCAAGTCTTGGTACATAATATCCGACCCTTAATATACTTCGAAAAATATTAACAAAAAATTTTGGTAATTCACACATATAAGGATAAACAAACATTTTTCCACTATTTTTCATAATAAATTCGGTTGAGAATTCCATTGTTACAGGTTCCTACAAGAAAAAATATAACAATTTAATTTTTATTTGCAATTCTGTAAAATGTATGTATGTATATAATATTTGAATAATTGTGTATATGTATATGGAAATATATACCTTTTCATTTAAGCCAGAATCAAATAATTTCGGATCGTCAGCATCAAATTTATAAATTTCAGAAGTACTTTCTTCTAAATCATCAGTTTTTATAAAATGTCTTCCTACTATTGATACAACAATAGTCATCAATGGATTACGAATTAATTTTGGATTCATAAAATCATATTTATCCATTAAATTTCCATCCTATATCGTAAATTTCCGTATATTAATTACAATTTATAGAAATATGTATGTCATTAGTTTTCTTAAATACATTAATAATTAAAAAAAAAAACAATAAAAATTAATAATTTAAATTTACGGTATTTTCATAAACAAAACATATTTTTTATATCGTAAATTATTACATGAAAATTTGATTTGGTATAATTTTTCCTATCGATTTGAGAATTTAAACAATTTCTTTCAAAAAATCTTGTCCGTAACATAAATTTTTTGGAAACAAAATTAAAATTTTAATAAAATTTCCTATTTTACCGTAAATAATTTCTTTCTATTCTTAAGAAAAATAAAGCATGTTTAAGTTTACGATAAGAAAATGTTAGCTGTAATCATATATTTTGTGAAAATACCGTAAAAATATTTTCAGATTTGGATATTAAACATATGTATATTCACACATACTAACATACCTTATAAACTTTTAAAACATTATAAAATTGATCCAAATTCCTTTTAATTAAACCTTGTAATTGTAAAGACATTAAAGCATGTATACAATTAAAAAATATTGCAGCTCGACCACCATATTTACTATTCATTGGAATATATTCTTTCCATGTTTTTTTCATAGCATCTAGTAAATCAGCACATCTTGGTAACCAATCATTTATTAAAATCTATAATTTATGTATAATATATTAGAAAATTATTTAAAATAAAATAATGAATAATATTATTGAAATCTTACATCTCTAGCTAATAAACAGCTTTGTCTAACAAGTGCTAAAATTTCATCTGCATTCAATGGAATCGGTTTCTCATAAAATTTATTTGTATCCACAATCACCATATCATTATAACTTATTATATAAAATTAAATTTAATAAAAAAAATTATATTTTTTCATTGTACATATGTACATATGTATGTAGATATTAAATATAATAAAATGAAATTAAATAATTTTTCCTTACAATTGAAACCATAAAACATTTAAAGCAGTTAATGCTGGATGTGTAACCATTAACACTTGATCTAATCTATTAATTGCTATTTGTATATTAACTTTCCATGGTATTGGTGCTTTTATTGTTATACGTGGAAATTCTGGTGGTTCTTCTTCCAAACAAAGCAATTTTCTTTGATATGGTGATCTTAAAAATTAAATTTCAAAATACATATATTTTCTATTAATAAGAAATTTAATAATTTTACTTTAATATATAACGTAAAAGAGCACGTTTAACTTCATATCGATAATCTTCTTGTAAATCAATTAATGTTACTGCTATTAATATCGCTTGACTTCTTGGTACATTATTTGGTATATCAAATATATAATTGATTAACATTGTTTCAGAAAGAACATTAGGAAATAAAACCTTAAAATGTCACAAAAATTATAATGAAATATTAAATGATTTTACGATATTAGATGAAAATTTTACGATATCCAATCTATGTATATTTGAAAACATTTTGTTACCGACTAAATAAGTTATGTATATATGTATGTGTATATACCTTTTCTTTTTCAATAAATGCATGGGCCTTTTTGAATATTTTAAAATCTTCAGCTAAACGTTGTATAATATTCATAAATAAGCGAGAAGGATAATTTTCAATTTTTTTTACAGCAATCTAAACAAAAAAAATTTGTTATATTTAAAATAATCTTAATTGAAATTATTTAGTTGGAATAAATCCATAATCAAATCGTAAATCATGATTAAATTTATTAAAAATTAAAATCGACATTCAATCGTATTTCAATCATATTTACATTTTGCATAATAAAATGCATTTTTCTTCCAGATAAAGCCGAAAAATCTCTTAAAGTTCTATCCAATTCTCTATAATATCTTTTCAATACAGTATTTCTTTGTTCTGATGGTAGTTTAGGTTGTATTGTTTGTAAATATATAAACTGTCTTTAATAATACATATATTTTAATTAAAAAAATATTTAAATTTCATATATTATTAATTTTTTTTTTACTCTCTATCCTTCTGTACTAATTCCATCATAATTTCTTTGGTAGTTTGTTTCTTTTTCTCTATTTTCGGTTGAATAATTTTCTTTGTACTTTGCAACTAAAAAATGAGGCTATTCTTTGTATTATGAAAAAATAATAATATTATAAAAATTTTTGGTTTAAATTAAATTTTCTTTTATAGTAAAATTAAAAATAGAAATCAAAGTCATACGCATTTTTCATTTTTCCCTTGTGCAACATTACTTTCCCATTTTTTAGAAATTTGTAATTGTTGTGATTTATATTTTTTGAAAATTTTTTCATTTTCTTCAATTTTTCTCAATTCTGGTTTTATTAATTCATCAAATATAGCACTGACTCGTTTTAATTCTCTTTGAGTTTCTAAACAAAAATCAAAAACAATATTAATTAAAAGTTATTAATTTAATTTTTATTATTACCCTCTCTTGTTCTAAACTGAAAAGGATCAACCGGTTGAAAAATTTCTTTTTTCTTACTTTTTTTCAAATTTATTAATTTTAAATTTAAAGCAATAGTATATTTTGGAATTGTTTTATTACAAATTATAAGAGATTTTTCAAAATATTTTTCACATAAATTCTTATGTAAATTTTTTCCTCTTTCTTCTAAATAGATTTCTTTTAATTTTTGTGTTACCAATTCCATTTGTTCAAAAGTTATTTTATCTGAAAATTAAATAATAAATTTACATATTTGATCTATACGCTGCTAAAACAATTTTTTTTTGTACAAACCTTTATTTAGATTATGAATCCAATGATAAAAATTAATAGCTGTAAAATTAATTTTAGATAAAATTAGTAAATTTAAAGAATTCAGAAACTAAATTTGATATAAACGTAATTAACTCTAATTATTGGAATTGATTTTTAAATGATTTTAGAACAAGAATAGAAAGTGTAATTTTTTGAATATACAACTATCACTTTTATTGAATTAAAATTTATATTAATTTAGAAAATATTATATATTTTAAGTAATAAAGACAATATGAACAATATTCCACGTCCAAGATAAGAAATCAATTTACCAATTAAGTAATTCTAAACAAAAAAAAAAAACTTTATGGTAATTTAAAAGCACATACGGCAATCCAAGTCGAATGAACATACAGATTCTATTTCCATTTTCGTCTTATTAATAAATTTTTTATCAATAAAAGCTTCTTTAATTTCAATCATTATATCATTATCTTCACCATCTTCATTCATAAGATCTTCAAAATTTTCTGCATATTTAAATTGCTCCAATTCTAAATCTTTATAAGAAGGATAACGTTTTCTTTGCAATTCTAAAAAAAACAAATAATATCCAAACAGTTTTTGCATATTAATTTTATTTTTATATTAAATATATAATTTTACTTTTACCTAATGCATCTTCAATTAAAGAACGTAAAGGATCCATTGGTAGATCATCATAATTATATGTTATCTTATATATAGGTGGATTATATGGTATTTTAGTTTTATCAATTTTTTCATTTTTTTCGGCACTTATTAATTTTTTCTTCAAAATTTTCGGCATTAAAATCAAATATTAATGTATTTGTTTCTACAAATATTACAAATATTACAAAATTCAAAAATTTTGTTAAAATTTGAAACATTTATTTCAAATTACTATTTAGTATTGTCTTTTTTTTTTTCTTTGCTACTTTTCCATTACAAAAATTTATTAAAATAAGTTAAAATTTGTAAGAAATAAAAAATTTGAAAAGTATATTAGCTGAATGATAGTTATTTTATATTGTTTACCATAATAAACAAGTTTTAATAAAACCCGGGAGTTGCTATAGCTATTACTTATATTTTTTTTTTATTAAACAATTTCCTATGACTTCCATTCTCTCAATCAATTCGCTTATATTATAATATATAAGTTATTCTCGTAACGTGTGTTAATATTTTCATATTTCTTCTGAAATTAATTTTACATTTCATTAAATTTGCTCTCCTTTTTCTTTATTTGACCTATTTTTAAGTTCATGGAATTCCAATGATTTCAGTTTGAATTGGCTTCTTAAAGTTCAAGGCCAATACAGAAACGCATATTACATAATAAACTAACTAAAGTAGGTTACTACCATGTAATCTAATATTTTATATGCATAATAAATGAACTTATATAACTTAAACCTATGTTTTATAAACGTTCAGAGAAATCAAATGAATGAAATACTTTAAAATCAACAGGTGAGAATTTAAAAGTTAAACAATTAAAAGGGAAAACAAAATTATACAGTGAATACTTATATATGTAGATATACATATTAATTTTAGTTATGTTAAAAAAGTATTAAATTACTTTGCAAGTAAATAACGTGATGTAGAATTTTTCATTTGAATACACAATGAAAATTTTATACGTGGACATAATTTTGTTATTTCTTTTCTTTTTTTTCGAAGTAACCACAAACAAATTATATTATACTGTAATGTATTCAAGTGGTTTGGTTACCAATCTGTATAAAAAATTAAAAAAAAAAAAATATATTGAATAAAAAATAAACGTTTTATTGATTTTTTTTTTTATTCAATTTTTTATATTTTTAATAACATAAATGTATATTGATTTACATATAGCGCCATTTATTTTTAAGTTTTTTTATATTTGTAATTTGTTTTTTTTTTAATATAATAATATTATTTTTGTAGACACTTAAAATATAAGCAATATGTATATATATATATTTATGATTTTAAATTACTTTTGCCTGAAAGAATATTAGATATTTTCTTATGTGCAAAAATAGACATTTTTATAATATAATGTTGATATTCTTTGTTTATTTATATAATGAATTTTCTTAAATTTATTTATATTTTATTTAATTTTATCGAAAATCGTTGACTGTATTAGTTTTACTAAAATGTCAAGAACAATATTATCTATTTATTTATAGCTCATACCTATTTAAAAAAGATAGATTTATTACAAGATTTTACAAAAAAAAAAAAATTAAAATGTGTAATAATACTTGTAGTTAAATAAATTTATTACTTTTAATATAAGGCTGGTTTATATTAAAAGCAAAATATAAAAAAATAAAAAATCAACAGTCAACGATTAAATTTAAAATTATTTTTTTTTTTTTTTTCAATAATTTTCTCACTGTTTTTAATTTTCATTTAAAATGACAAGCTACAACAGTACATAGTTACAAACAAAGTATATAAATTTTTGTAAAAAAAAGAAAATCTTAAATAAATTTCCATTTATGAATATTCTGAACATGTTATTTGTATATTATTATGAATTAGGTTGAGTTGAAAAAGTTATGATATAATTTCTATTCTTAGAATATTAAACAACTAAAATATAAGAATCACAAAAAAATAGTCTTTATATTATATTATAATATATTATTTATGTAAATGTATTAAAAAGAATTATTCTTAAATAATGAAATAATCAAAGAAAATATTTTGATTTAATGTTAATAAATGTAAGCGCTCATTAATGGACAACCTTCATTACTATTATTTTTTTTTGTATTGAATTACATTTACAAAAATAAAATAAAAAAAAAATATAATATTATTTATATAGAATATAAAATTTATTCATTCGGAGCATTTGTTAATAACATTGCATCTTCAGGTAAAGGTCTTCTTTTATAACTTGGTTCTGATGCCAAATAAACTACCATTCCACCAAATACTGCCATTAAAACTCCTATGACATTTAAAATCAATCCTGAATTTGGTAAATTAGCATATGATTTTCTGTAAATTAAAAAAAAAAAAAAGTTAAAAAATTATTAAACATGAATTATTTAATTAAATTATTTTAAAAACAATTCAGGCTAACAAGTTATTAGTGATTAATTAAGACAATTATAATATTATGTTTATTATGATACTTGTATATAGAATATTCTAATTTAAAAATGAACATTAACTTACGACATTGAGAAAATTGCCTTTTCAGTTAAACCCATTAATGCACTTGCTATTGCTAAAACAAAACCAAATAATCCAAAATATACATGAAACGGCATTATTGTAGCTTTAAGACTTTCTTTCATTCCTGGTAATAAAAATGCAACAAATCCACCAACCCATTGTCCTGCAAATAATATAACAGCACCAAGTCCTAACCATGAATGTAATGAATACATATTTGGAATTGGTGGAACAGCCAAATTATGTGAATCAAATACTGTTATCAATGCAATCACAATTAATATAAATGCAATACCATGTATTGTTGCATGAATTAATTTTAATTTCTTTTTACGTGTTTGTCTTAGGCCACGATATATTAATATTGCTACAAAATAAATTGATTTGGTGTTAAAAACAAAAAAAAAATTATTTTAATTTTAAATTCATATAATATTTACACAAACATTATTAATCAATTGTTTAAATAACTTACAATTTCCATAAAGAAAGATCATTCCAATTGTCATTAAAAATGGATGCCAATTAAATTCAATTGATGGATTACTTGTACCACCAAATCCATTTAAATGAATTCCAATCCAACTAGTCATCAATATAATTAATGTAATACCAACTAATTGCGTTACTAAATAGAGAACTTTAAAATTCCCTAAATCGACAGCGCTTTGATTCGAGTCCATCTTTCTTTCACTGAAATTAAATTAAATTAATTATAAATAATTATTTAAATAGGTACTGTATCCAGTGTTTTGTTTATTAATTTTTTTTATGAAATAATAATATTGTAATTTAATTATATTGGATCTACTATTTATTACTTTGTTACATTTGAGGTGATATTTGCGCCTTTCGATTCATTTTGATTTGTTATGGCATTTGATGATACTTTATTTTGTTCATTTAATTCCATTGAAAGAGTAAATATAAAAACTTCAATTATTTACGATATATGTACATCCAAAATGTATCAAAAATAATATTTTTTTAAAATGAAAATAATTTAATGCTTCTAAATAAATTCGCTATTTCGTTTTACAAAACAAAAAGGACGGAAATTTATATAAAACTTTTAAATGTAAAACTTTACGCTTCAAAATAATATTTACTACTATTTGCAATAAATCACCAACAATGTGTAAGAGTTAGTTTGAATATTTTTGAACACCTACAATATTATAATAAAAGTTTTGCAATACTAATAGACTATGAACATGTTGGTTGATTGTGTGTATGAAAACTATTATTCAGTGGTGTTCATTTGAAATATAAATAAGGATATACTTTATTCTATATTAAATTATGTATTAAAATTAATATTACTCATTAATTGAATAAACGCATGAATAAAGAATAAATTAATCTGAGTTTTGAATTTATTAAACTTTAAAAAATTCAATTACAATCAAATACATAAAACAAACATCTACTATATCACCTACTATAAAACAAACAAATTAAAAATTTTAAGAACAAACTAACTACTCGTACATTTAAAAATAATAATTTTCATACTTAAAAACTAATAATACATAATGTATTTCGGTTATATTCTACATATAGATATTAATATTTTGTATATTGACTATAACATCTTATAAAATTAAAACTATTGTATTAAATGAAAATTAGAAATTAGAACTAGGAGAATTACCAATATATAGTAGGATGGAAAAGAATGGTAATACCTTTGTCTGTTTTGATATTGTTTGCTTGACGCAAATTGTGAGTCGCTTGATTTAATACTCCTTTTTCTTAACATTTTAACAAAAATTTAATAATATTTTTTCTATAATAATTATTATATAATATGTATCTCATAAAAATATTATGTGTTATTAAAAAACTAAAAATTAGATTACGGCAAAACTTTTATGAAAAATTGATTTGTTATAAAATTTAAAGAAAATTAAAAAGAAACAGCACTCAAACAATTTACAAACAAACACAAACAAAATATTATTTTGTGAATTTTTGGAAATTCAGTTCGAACTTCTGGAAAATATAAATGTGGCCACGTCACTGAAAAATTCAAATTTATAATTATTTTAGAAAAGAAGAAAAAGAACAAAAACTTTAAATTTGTAATATTAATAAAAAAAAAAAATGGAAAATATTCATTTTTAACTTATACCTGCAATATTTTTTCAAAATGCATACATAATTGTATTTAACAGACAGCAAGAATATTAAAACAAATTTTTTTATTATTGTTATATACAAATGAAATAATCTACCTTGACAGAAATACTACTTCCATAGGTATTCTTAATTAAAAGTTAGTAAGTCACAAAACAATAATGTTATTCTCATTAAAAATAAAAAAAAAAACACACAATATACACTATTATCTATTTTCATATTTTATATACTAGACTATGGTATAAAACTTGTATACCACTTATACTAGTCTATAAGACTTGTATAACAAACTAATACAATTGTACCTATTTAGGTACTAAAATTTATGAATATTTTTCAGATATTGTTTTCTGGTTATATTTTATTATATTAGAACGAGGTTTCCTATGTTTTAATGCGTTAGAATACTGATATAAAAAAAAACTTAAATTTAATTAATTATTCAAGCTTCATACATATATATCTGATGAGTTTACTTACATATATTATATCGCATATTTATAATTTGTGTAAATTTAAAGTTGTTTGTGTGTAAGGTACACTAATTAACTATTTACTAGTCATGATATGTACTTAATGCATGATTTAATTTTATACATATACATATGTACGATAGAATTAGCGAGCGTGATTGCTAATTGCAGTATAAATTATTAAATTTTGACCTAAATTTTATTTATTATAAATTTATATACATATACCAAATATGTGCACTAATATTAATAAATAATATTTTAATAGATGACCTTTTCAAAAAAAATTTATATACAAGTGAAGATTAAATTGTTTTCATCAATTTTTTTATATTCTATTCTAAAAGAATGGAATTTAACTTTTAAAAATATGCAACTATACAAAATTGTAAGTCATTCACATTGCAAATTTTATGAATAATATTAAGCGGGTATTTAAAATGGAAAACTTAAAAAATAATTTGAATAACAATGGTTAATCAAATTTGTTTATATATATAGTATGAATTATTTAAGCATAACATTATGTGAAATATTTAAAATTATTAAATAATAGTAATAAATTTAAATGTGATTTTAATTATGATACAAAATAAAATTGTATAGGAATAGTGTTATAATGAAATATGAGAGAGTTATGAGATACAATATGAAAAAAGCAAGTTAGAAAATTATAGTATGATTTTTTTTTTTTTATAAAATATTTATTGCAATTTTAATATGCATGCAATTAAATTAATGTATAATAGAAATAAATACAATATAAATTAAATACATTATAAAATAAATGTTCAAGAATCTTCAACATAATTTCATTCATAAGGAAAAAATATTTCTCAGACATTTTTTTTTTGCATATCATATTTGTTTTTTGGTTTATTACTTTCAAAATGCAAATATTCAAAATTATATACAAATAGATTTTTATTCCATTTCTTGTTCCTTGGGTTTATTTTTTTTGTGGTTTTAATTATACACTATAAATTATCCTGTCTGTATTCAATTAAAAATAATAAGAAACCTTCAAAACAAAATTATATTCATACTATTGTAATTTTAGCATCGAAAATTAAATAAATTTCATTTCTAAGAAGCATAGTACTATTTTAAATATTTATATTAAAATTATAATTGAATATTAAATATATATATATATATATGTACCTATTATTCGATTGTTCATCTTTATTCATTAAAGGAGAAATTACATCTTCCTCACTGTTACTGTCTTCCATATTTTATTTTTTTTTTTGTATCCAAAAACATTAGTTATAAACTCATATTATATAATTAATAAAAATTGGCATTAAGGAAACTTTTTTTTGTTATTTTTTCGATTTCATATTAATTGAATCACATTAAAAAATTATTGAAAATTGAATGCTGTTTTAAAAAAAACAAATTAAAATTAATTTGTAAAAATATAAATGTTTATTAGAATATTTGAAATTTAATTATAAAATTAGAACTAAATTTAAAAATTTAATGTGTGTTAAGCGTATGTACTTCTAAATTAAATAAAATTAAGAAAAAAAAATAATGAAAATTTATTTTAGTGTGAAATGAGATCGATATATCAATAATAATGTAAATATTAATTACAATTAAAATGTTATGCATAGATTTATTCATCAATTCATCATACTTTTTACTACTACTCGTATAACAAAAATCTTTAATAGTGTTTCCTTTTTAAAATTTAGATTCTAAAACATAGAAAATTTTAACCTGATGCAATTTCCAACTGATTTCTCAGTTCAATTTGATTTCTTATACAATTATGCTCTGTATTTTAAAGAATAACCATTAGAACCTTTATAAAATATAAATATCTATCAACAAAAATATTAAATAAATTTAAGCAACTCTGTTAAAGCTAAAATATAAACTGAAACCGGTGAAAGAACTTTAATCTGTATTATACAAACAATATTTAATTTATTTTTTATTAAGAGATAATTTTTATCAATAAGAATTTAATAACAATGAATAAGAAATGGAAAAAAAATAAAATTAAATCAGTTTTATTTTTTAAAATATGTAGGTATTTCAATTGTAATTACACAATATATAATTTGATATTAAAAACCTACAATATAAAAAAAAAAATTAATTTTCTTAGAACAAATTTTAATTTTCTTTTTTCCATTTCTTACTCATTGAATTAAATTGATTGATTTCTTTCAGAAGTAACAGATCATATAAGTAATCTATTTCAATATTTTAGGTATACGTATAATTTAAACATCTTCATTTAGTAGTATTTAATCATCTTCTCTTATCATAGATGAAATATCCAAAAAAAAAGTATTCATTATATTTATACAATATTTTTTGAATGCAAATGCAATGAGTTGAAATGCTTGCCAGTATTAAATGTTAAATTTTTTACATCTCAGAATCCTCTATGTATTTAATTAATTTAAAAAAAAAAAATGTAACATTTTTAATTTGAAAATAAAAAAATTTGTTGCTCCAAAATTGGTAAACCGCCTTTCACGAATAAATCAGTGTTTTCTTGCAACTACAATAAATATTTTTTAAAAAAATTTTAATTTAATAAAAATTATTTTAAATTCAATTAAAACAAATTTATCATACTAATAAATCTACTAGTTTTAAAATACATAGTTTTAAACTAGTAGATCTATTACTACATAATATGTTAGCAAGTAGATGGGTATACCATTTTCCTTGAAGTATAAATTTTTGCAATTTTTATGGGTATGGGTATACTTGTACGTATATAATTAATAGATACAAAAATATGATTTTGAGTAGATACTACATAGTTCAGTAAATGTACAAAAAGTAAGATATCTGTTTAAAAAGAGAAAAATTCACATACTTTGTCAACTAGGTATACTATCAATCTAATAAAAAACTAGGACACCTTTTTAATAACGTACAATAATGACTACTCTACATAACTTTTTAAACACATAGGTACCTACATATTATGTACGTGGATACATAATATATCAAGAAGATACATTATAAAGATGTATATCAAAAAATCATAATGTATGATAGATGTGGGCAGTTCTATACGGCAATTTACACTTTTATTCTTAAAATCTGTATATGAATTAGAATTATATGATAAAAAAATTTTTTATTTACAGAAATGTTTAATCTAACAATGATAGATGAATTTGCATGCAAATACATACATATATTTTAATTTTCTTTAAAGGACATAAACTCAATTAAAATGTTAATTGGAAAAAAAAGCAAATCATACTACGTAAGCATTATACTAAGCTAAAAATACATAAAAGTTCAAATGAGTTTGGTTTTTAAAGCTAAAATATGAATTATCTACATACCAGAAAATTATTTTCCTTTCCTTCCTTTTTTCCTTCTTTCCAAGATAAGTAAGTAACTTAAATTTTAACTTATTACAAAATACTAAATAAGGAAAACTAAAATAAAACTAAAAAAATTTAAAACAAAATATAGTTTTCCAAAATTTTGAAAACTTTTTTTTTTAAAGCAACTCTTTTCTATTTTTTTTGCATTTTCACACTTCAGCGGAAAAGTAATATGTATATGTATACTTTATTTTAAAAGAATTGCTCTATTTATCAAAAAAGACGACGATGTCTAAAAAAAAACAACAAGCACAACAAGTTGATTTTGACGATTTTCTGTCCCCCAAAAGAAGAATAAAGTAAATATTTGAAAGTATTTGTAAAAGTTGCCATATAGAAATTTTTTTTTGTTCATGTAGAGTTGAAATATAATTTGAAATTTATTCAAAATTTAGCAAATTTTTTAATTATCAACCGATATTTTTAAAAATATTAAATAGAATCCATTAAAAATTGCGTGTCAGATAAAACTTACCTGCATTGGTAAATCTTATACGCCAAAAACGCAATTTATAAACTACTAACATTAAGTACGATTAATCTTAAAATCATTCAATTTCATTATTATTTAATTTATATGCAGATTATTTATGTAAGAAAATACCCTCCTAAACAGTGAATTTTCATATTTGACAGAAGGGAATAGAGGGTGTTGCAAGAATATTAATAATAATGCTGCAATAAGTACAATAATATGCAAAATGGTTCGAATTATGATAAGAACTACATATAAAGATTTTAATTCGAAATGGTATTGCACATTTTATAAATATAAATGTTATGTTCACATATGGAAGTAATAATCAAAACCAGTCTATACTGTATAGTATGAAGCAAGGTTGTTAATCAACCACCTTATGCACTTGACGATAATAATCTAAAAACCGTCAATATAAACATTAAATTTAACTGGGAAAACACTAAATATCAATTAAATTTCATTATTTAAAGTTCTTGAGTTGTCAGATTTTACAATGTAAACACAGTAGTCTACAGAAATAAATTTTTTTGATTGACAGAATCCAAATTCAAAATATCAAATGTCAAAAAAATTTTGAATAATTTTGAATTATTTCAAAAATATTAACATTCTTTTAATATGTTTACATTGTTTACTTTCAAAGAAAATATTTATAAGCAGACTGTAAGACTATAAAAATAATGTTTTTGTTAATTTCTTACGAACATATTATTGGCTTGGCAAAATTAATTTGATTATTCAATGACTTGGAAAATTTACCGCATGAAAAAATTAATAAAAAAGAAAAAATAAAATTATATCAAAATTTAACAGATTTATGTGTGTGTATTAGCTTTCCTTTAGCCGCAATTTTTTCGAAAGGAAAAATACCATGAAACTTAAGTGTTGATTTTTATAAGCTCAAATTTCTTTAAAACACCAGACTAGTCATTTAATAAATAAGTTGTATTTGGAATGATAACAATATTGTAAATAACCTTTTATAGGACTTCAAAAGAAATTTGAACAATGATAAAACTACGGTAATAAGAGATTATAAAAGTACTTACTTTTATTAATTTATAGGAGTTTGTTAGTTGATATTCATCTTTGTGTATATATCAACATATTTATGTATTTCAACTTTTTTTAAGAAAGTAAAAACAATTTTTTAAATTATTGCAATAAAATTGTACTTAAATGTACCTGGAAATAAATTTTTGAATCTTTTAATCTAAAAATAAGTTTTCATTTATTATTTGTTTTAAAACTTTTTCTTATAAAATGTTTTACATTATAAATTGCATCGTCTTAAGTATAAAAATTGCGCAATTAAAAATCATAAAATACTCGTATTAGGTAAAAAAAAAATGTGCTTATTTATGATTTTGTAAAATTTTATAAATAAATAAAAAGATGTATCTATTAAAAAGAAAACAGAAGTGCGCCTTTTATCAAAAAAAAAAAAAATAAATAAAATTTTCTTTTTTTTGAATTTTAACAAGAATCTACAATTTATGCTTGAAGCCAAAGTAGACCACTACTAAACTAGAATATCAAATGATTATAAAACATTTAAATATAATATTTTTACGTTCAATATTCCAACATTCTAGTAAGGGTTTTCCAATTTCCAACTTTTTTGTAACTTTTGTAAATGATTAAATGCTCTGTATGTAATATTTAGTGCTGGAGTTATATCTGCCAAATTTTTCTCTTTAATAAAAGTTAACCCACATAAACCAAAATAAGTATGAAACGGATCTGTATTTGAGCCTGGCCATTTACAGAAACCTCCAACGCATGTATCTTGTGTTGACAATATATAATCTCGATTTTGTTTAAAATCTGATAATTCAAAAGCGTCTAATATTTTTAATGTTGCTCCAATCCAAAATGAATAACATGTATCAGACAATTTATTTGGTCTCCCTTGAAAACCATCAGTTTGTCTAAAAAGTAACCACCGTTTCATGCCTTCTAGGACTTCTTCTGATAATATATATAATTGATCACTCATATATAACGCAGCAACAGCACAAAATGTAGTGCCACCATGAGATTCCATTTCACCATCTTGACTTATCCCATAGTCATAGCGAATACTTTTTAAAATATAATCTGCCATAAGCTTTTTATTTATATTTCCCCAATCATTAAGCATATAACAAATAGCCGCGGCGCAATAAACAAAACGCATATCAGATTCACTACCTGAAATTTTAAAAAAGTTTACATAAAATTTTAATTCGATTTTGGAAAAATTTTGACAAAAATGTGTTAATTAGGTTTTATTTTTTAAATTAAATCTTTAATTTTTTTTTTGTGGTAAATTATTTCAGTATGTTAACCACAGAAATTTTAAGTATCTACTATTTAAAGGAAAATTGGATCATACCTTGTATCGAAGCACTAAAACTTCCATTTTCTTTTTGAACTGCCTCGACCCCTCGAATTATAGCTTTTCTATTGAGTCTACTTAAATCGTCTCCCAATGTTGCTAGCGTTGCTATAGCAGTATATGTTACAGCCAAGTGGCCCCACTGATAATGGCGCTCCCACGAAAAGTCATTCAACATTTCATTTGTTTTACAAGTTATAAACGTCGTTGATCCTTGAAAGCCTCCACAACTCATGTCATCTTCGCGAGGATTTATTTGACACCTGTACAGCCATTCTATAATTTCGTTTTTGAAACTGTTTTTAAGTATATGCAAACTATTAAGAACATCTAAACCGCTGACAGCAAAGAAAGCAATAGTTATCCGCGTGCAGTCATGTGAAGACAAACGAGCTGGTAGAAGTTTTAAAAATCTTGCAAAATATTTTGCATGTTTTTCAATTTGTACGATATCTGGATCCATTGATGTTATTGATTGTGGCGAACTTATGGTATTGTTTATAAAAATGTTAACTATTCGCCTTTTTCATTTAAATTAATACTTGTTCAAATAATCTATTACACTATAGTATTAGAAAATAACTAAAAATTAATTTTATATCTAATATTGGAAATGTTGCAGATATTTCATTCTTAAGTAAATTTTTAAATTAATGAAAAATTAACTCTAACCTAATAGTGCTACAAATTTCTAAGAACTGGTTAGTGACAAAAATAATTGAATTTTGCATTAGAGGGTCAGCTGATTCAATTCGCATAAATTGACAATTTAGATAAAAAAAATATTGACATTCTCTGAGCGTTATTAGAAAAGACGCCCATTAAAAGTTTGAAGTTGCCATATGCACATATTTTACTTATTAAAAGTAATAATCCTGATACTATTTGGTTTCAGAAAATTTTCTTACATAAACTTTAAAAGTAGTCTATTTCAGGATTATTCAGGATTTAAACTTTAAAAGTAGTCTATTTCAGGATTATTTAGAAAGTGTTAAGAATACTGCTTCCACTTCGACGCGCTTGTATCAACAATTTCCCTTGATTTTAGGTGAATACAACAAGATGTTAATTTTGTCAATTTAGATACAATATATTTTTAATTAAAAATGGATAAATTTTATTTCTATGTTTTAAGATTAAAATATTTTTTGGTTTCGTATGTCTAAACTCCCTACGTTTATTGTCAATGATTAAACTACTTGTGTATCAATTAGCTGTGCATATTTACACAACGACTTTTGCATTAATAGTTGACATTACGCTTCATTCCATTTGCCTGTAAGTTGTATCTGCAAAAAAGTTGTCGTGTAAACACTGCTAGAGGTACAATTTGTGATTAGAAAACGTTGGCATCCCTGTGCTTTTCAAATGTCATCATCTTTCTATTTTTGTTTATTCACATGGTTTGCCAAGAACAAGCAGAACGAAGATTCAATCATACTTTTTAATTAGAAGTATATTTTTGGTACCCATTTTCAATGGAGGCCGAACTTAAGAAACCTTTATTTCGTGATTTGAATCCTGAGGATGAAGAACAAGAAACTACAACCATAGAATCTGTTTGCATGAATTGTTTTAAAAATGGGAAAACCAGATTATTATTGACAAAAATTCCATTTTATAAGGAAATAGTTTTAATGTCATTTAATTGTGATGAGTGCGGGTATGAAAATAATGAAATACAAACTGCTTCAGAAATATCTCCTAAAGGATGTAAAATTGTTTTAAATGTAAACAATGCTGCCGATTTAAACAGAAAAGTTGTTAAATCTGATTACTCTGCAGTGAAAGTTCCTGAAGTTAACCTTGAAATTCCAGCTAAATCTCAAAAAGGTGAAGTAACAACTGTTGAGGGTATAATACAACGCACAATAACTGGTTTAAGCCAAGATCAAGAAGCGAGGAGAAAAGAACATCCTGACACAGCTAAATCAATAGATGATTATATAGAAAAATTAAGGCATATTCTCAATATAGAATTATTTGGCGGCTTTACCTTGATATTGGAAGATGTTAGTGGAAATAGTTTTATTGAAAATCCGAATGCACCACATGTTGATCATAACTGTAAAACCACCGAATTTATCCGTAATGAAGATGAAAATAAAATTGTTGGCATTTATGAGGAAAGTGTATCAAAAGAGGAAAACATTGCTTCTGAAAAAGAAAATATCTTGCAACCGATTCCGGAAGATTCATGGCCACTAAAAGAGCTAGAGGGAGAAGTTTTGCAGTTTCCAACTCTTTGTTACAAATGTCGTTCGCCTTGTGAAACTAACATGAAAATGACAAGTATTCCGCATTTCAAAGAAGTTGTTATTATGGCAACAACATGCGAAGTGTGTGGCTATCGTACAAATGAAATAAAATCTGGGGGAGGTATATTAGATAAAGGAACTCGTTTTGAAGTTAACATCAAAGATAAAGAAGACTTGAGTCGTGATATTCTAAAATCTGAAACTTGTAGTATGAGTTTGTTAGAATTTGATTGCCATGTTGGACCTGCAGCGCTAGGTGGTCGTTTTACCACCATTGAAGGGATCCTTTGTGGAATGAAGGAACAATTGCAAGGCAACACTATTCCTTTTAGGGATTCCGCTGATGAAGAAACAAAGGAAAAATTGAATCAGTTTATTAAAAATATAGATCGTGTTATAAATTTAGATATTCCCGCAACTTTAATATTGGATGATCCAGCTGGTAACAGTTACATCCAATCACTAGCAGATGATAAGCCGGATGAAAAATTAAAAATTCATCATTATGAAAGATCTTTCGAACAAAATGAAGAATTGGGTTTAAATGACATGAAAACTGAAGATTACTAAAAGTTATCATAGTTCAAATACTTATAGGTACATAAAAACATTCGTGTATAAAAAATAATTTATAGTATCAAAAAGTGCAAATAAATGTAGCGTTTTTAATTTTTATTTACCCAAAGCTTTTTTTACTTCATTTTCCTTTACATTTTTTTTAATTTCTATTTGATCTAATTTTGATAATAGATGATCAATGCATTTTAATGCGGATGGTGAGAATTGATCTTGCTTTTTTTGCATTACTTTAATTTGTTTTTCTAAATAACTAATTTCTTCTTCCAGTTTTGATATGGGTGTAACATTTTTTAGTAAATCCACTTTCCCTTCTTCAATATTTTTGATATCCCGAAGTTCACGATTGATATATTCCTCCCACTTCCGATTTTCTAATTGGAGATCTTTGATCACTTTTACGTAATGAATTCTTTCTTCAATTGCTTCATGAATTAGAATTTTTAAGTTGAAATGATCAATGTTCTGTAAACCACATTGTAAAATTACGTTCGAGAACTCATTGAGAAGAAGTACTATATCCACTGGTAAAGATGATAATGTTATATCAAAATGATTTAAATCATTTTCCTGACTCTCACGAAGTTTCTTAATGGCTAAAATTTCGTCGTATAATTTTAGATTTTCTGATGTATTCATCTCATTTTGATTTTCCATTTCAGACACTACTAATTACTAATGTTAGTTTTCGATACAACTGTATAAAACACTGATGCATGCAACTGCATAAATTTTTTGAATTTAAAATTTGAAATGTTGAGATTCTTGGGTTATGGTCAAATATCTGACAGTACAGAAGTCAAAAAGTAATTATCTTGACATTACAAAAATCACAGCTGACAGAATATATACCGATTACCGACTCGTTTTATGTTGAAGTTTTTTTTATTATATATAATTTGTTCATATATAAAAATCTGTAAACAATAAACAATGCTGTTTAACCAAATTTCATTTCAAAATAAATTTATTTTATTTGCTGGTAAATTTGTTTTATTTGTTATTTTAAAAATATTAGTATTTTCCTTTTTAATTCTAGATCAATATGGTATGGAAAAATATGCAGAGAGTTTAATGAAAAGCATTTTACGTCAACAAAATAATTTAGTAAAGACCGAATTTTTGAAAAATAGTAAACTAGCGAAAGAAAACTTAAAAGAAATTAGGTCAGAAATCATAATACTTCCACTAGTATCTGAAATTCTTATTAGCAAAGAGCCTGAATATTTATTTAATATGATTAATATATTGAAGCAAAATAAAAATGTTAAACAAATGTATTTGTGGGCCACACAATCTACACTTGAGCAGAATTTTATAATACCATTTCTAGAATATATGGCTGATCAAATAATAACAATAAAAGATTTAGAAAAATTATCAATTCTTATACGAAAACCAGGTGGTCTCATTGTAAATAAAGTTCGTATTAATTTTGTTACAAAGTACAAATTCATAATAATAATAATTACCTATTTTCTTCCAGTATTTTTCTTATAAAATAACTCCAATTGGTTTTGAAATCGAACCTCTTAAAACAAGTAAACCTGACAAAGTCGAAACAAATAATAAAATGCAAGATATAGGAACATTTAAAATTGCATTGGAAGAAGAAGAAATGATTGCAAGAAATGCTTTAAAATTACCTTATGAAAAGTAAATTCATTAATACAATAAGAATATTTATAACACCAAAATTTTTACTTTCTAGGGCAAAAGAAAATGAAGGCAATATTGTTTATACACCAGAGGATATGGATGATTTTGATGATGAAGATCCTGACGAAGACTTGTCTATTTAAGAACAAATACAGATTCTATTAAGGATTTGTTAATAAAAATGTTTATTTGTATATACAATGAAAATATATGTATGATTGTATGTATTTACTTTAAAATTTTTTTATTTTTAGTAAAAATCATTTACAAACCAAAATGATTTTTGCTTAATTGAATTTACATATTTACATTGTTGATTTTACTGCTTTTTTAGTTAAAGGAGCTCTTTGTAAATTAAAAATTTTCTAACCTTAAAATAATAATTAAAAATTACAATCCAAATTTTGTTTTATATTGCTAACAGAACTACTGGTAAAATAATTTTAAACTGAATGGAAGAAAAATAGCTTAATTAATGTACATACATATCTTATAATTAATTTCATTTTGGTACGTTTTTGTTTTAGTATAAAATTGCAGATTTACACAAAATTAAAATAGTTTGTGCAACACGAACTTAATTAAGTTCAATATCAAATTAACATTGTTTTGCTTTTTTTTTATTTCTTTGTATATATTATATATTATAAAATATGCAGATTAATATATTGGTTATTTATGGTGATATGTAAGAGAATGGTAACATTTAAATATGCTATAAGAATTTTAAAAGAATATTTCTTTTTTATTTCTAAAATATGATAGTCTTCTTTTTAATATTGAAATGAAAATAAACATTAAAATTAATTTTTACAAATACGGCAATATGATATTTTAAAACAAACAACTTTTAATAATGGCACAACTAAATGCTATATGTAAACTACTTTTGGCTGTTTCATTTTTATTTTAAAAAAAGTTAAAATAAATAATTATAAAAACAAAAAATATACTAACAAAATTTAACATTCAATTTCTTAAAAAAAAAATATTTCTAAAAAATTATCCCTTATCTAATAAAGTATTAATATTACTTTTTAAATCTGGCGAGAGCGAACTCCACGCAGTATTTTTACATAATTCTAATTTTATATCAATAATTGCGTCATTTGATGCTAAACAGCTTTCCCGGCTTAAATAAAACATTTTAGAAAGACTATCAATCCATTCTTTCAAATTATCACCAAAACGTTTTGAGTTATTTTCTTTTTTTAAACCTTGAGGCAAATATTGTTTCCATTCCTCAGGATAAATTAATGAATTTTTTGATCCTGTATTTAATATTTCAGCTCTTTTTAGTTTTATAGGTTTTCCTTTGTCAAATTCAATTGGTGTTACCAAAAATCTTGTTTGAGCAAATAAATTTGTCCTTCCAATCAATTTGACCGTCCATATTCCAGGGGTTATCGGTTTCTTCAAATTTGACTTGCAAAAATTTATCGAGTCCACACGACTATCTTCAACATGAACTTCATTGAAGTCAGCTAAATTTCCATTTGGATCAATCCAAAGAACTGTTAAGTTATAAGAAAAATTTTCAGCATGTTCATTTCCCGAAAATTGAAAAACTAAAACTGGATCATTCGATAATGGACCAATCACTTTTTGGAAATTTCTCAGAATTTGTTCTTTTTGATCATAATCGGTACTTACTTCAAAACTTTTTATTCTGCGCCCAAATCTAGAGTTTTTATTTGTTTTTGATGGTTGATATGGTCGAATTCTAGTTTCCATTTCGAATAAACTATTTGTGTTATTGGAGATTTCTGCCAAATATTTGATTATAAATCCCTTATATTCATCATCAAATTTATAATGAACTATTTCTTTCAGCATATTTGGTTGGAAACGCATAATTTTTGCGTTATTTCTCAGTAAACTGTATGCAATGGTCAGAAGAGCATCATCTGGTAATGGACTGCTATCTTCATAGTTGTAAATACTTTCCCAATACGCATTAAGATTTGTGTACTCACTCATATAAGGACCAAAAAGCCATTCTTCCAATTGCAAAATAATTGCTTGATTTATCATTGGCTCAAATTTTCTTGCAAAAAATAATAATTTCGATTCAGTATTTTGTAATCTAGCCCAATCTTCAATTTTAAAATCATTTGGACTACAACCACACCAATCTACAACATGCTTATATTGACATTTACAACCTAATTTACGTTTCCAATTTGTAACATGTAAATTATTATCAATATAGGTACTGCAAAAATGTGTATTACGCAAAACTGTGTGAAAGAAAGATTCAGCAGGTAATAAAGTGTGTTGGAAAATTTTTAATAAGCCTAGAATAAGTTCATTATTTTTGTAATTTGTCACAAAATTAACGAAATCTTTTGATAAAGCTATCCAATCGCTGCCACCATCTATTTGAATCCCTTGCGGTAGTTCACGATCTCCAATTCGCCACATATGAGTATCACATTCAACAAATGTTTTGTCTAAACCTTGTTTTTGTATAAAGCGTTGTGTTTCTCTTCCATGGCTTTTAACAAAATTTTTTCCTTTATTTGCTGTTAAAAACTCCAGTAATTTTTCATTTGCTTTTACTGGAAAATCACTTTCACTTAAATTTATAACAAAATCCCATTCCCAATCAGATTTTAATAAATCAGTCATGCATTGTAGAAGCATTGTTAACAGTGATGCGCCACCCCATATCGTTGAGAAGCGTTTTCTAGCTAAACGTATATTAGGAAATTTCGTTTCCAATTTTAACAATTCACGATACAAATAATCTTGTCTCTAAAAACAAAATAAAAAAAAATATTAATTAAGTAAATTGAAGATAAAATTAATTTTTTTCAGCGACAAATGTACACACATAATTGTTGTATACACATAACTATGTACATATGTGTAGTTCAATTTAATTTTACACCCACTATTCATTCATCCGTTTTGTTTTAAAAAATTTTTGTCACTAAATAATGAAAATTTTTGACTTTGAGTTTTTATACTGACCGAATCTATATGAATATAAAAATATTGCTTTGTTGAGTATAAAGCCTTAATTAAACGATGCACTTGTCTTAAAGCTCTTCCATTTAAAGTTAATAAAAATACTATTCGTACTTCCTCCACATTTTTTTCAGGAATAATTTTCGCATTTTGAGCTGTGAATTCTTTAAAATAGATAATTTTTATAATTTATTCTTCAAAATTTTTAATTTTTACTCACTTGCAATTCCCGTCTCAAATATATTTATTGTAAAGTAACCACCACAAGCTTCTTTGGCATTTCCGGTACATTTCATATTGCAATTCGGATCGGATATTCTCGCTGATGGTGGAGGAGGCTCATTTCCGCAAAAGCATTCTGTACCATATTGAACACCAGCATATTGAAAACCAGATTGTAAACACATTTGAATACATTTATTTGGTGAATTTGATTGTTTAAAATTCGTATAATATCCAGATAAAAGTCTATATTCTTTTTCATCTTTGTAGCAGCCTAATGAGCGGCTGTTTGTAAAATTACCATTTGGACAAGTGCTTTTTAATATTTTTGGGTAAAATAATCCAGATTGTATTGCACATGCTATATTAGCGATATGTTTTTTGCAGTCTTGAGTTTTTGCACGATTAATCGCAGATATCGCTTCTTTCGACAATATTTTGCACGTTGTATTAAACGTTAAATTATCTAATTTTAAAGCGACACTGTTGCTGTTAATACCAACATTTCGAGTTTCTGGCTCAGGTTTCGCTATGTTATTATTAGCATCCTCATCGTCACCACCAACAGAATTTCCATTGTCTTTTTGATATGCCAAATTAACATTTATATCGTTAATTTTACTGTTAGTCGAACTTAATCCTAATTGAGGTATTAAAGATGATTTATAAGCCAAAAATATTTGAATTAAAAAAAACAAAATTAATAAAATGAAATATGTTTTGTATTGCTTTATCCACTTTCGTGTTAAAGACTCGGACATGATATCTTAAAAATGAAAATGCACTTGCTGTTTTTGTAGTACATTACACAAAGTATTTTTTAAAACGAAAAACTCTTAATTACACCATTTATTAACAAACATGATTATCATAATAAAAAAAGCAAACAAAATATTTATCACAACTTTTTTTCAGTTTACTAAAAGTTTTTTAGTTTTTCGATGCAAAATCATATTTGAAATGTGTCAAAATATAGTATCCAAGGTATGCGCGAATTAAACTGACAAGTTAATAGCAATACACGACAAAATCTAAATCAGGTGAATGAGGTATACGCAAACACAGTTTGACATCGGACTTTGTTTTACGACAAATAATTGAAATTACTACGTTAATTCGAGAGAATAAAATAAACTCAGTTTAATTTTAATTTCTGACTTTTCGTTCGTTTTAAAATTCTGAGTAGAATTAGAGAAGTACAAAAAAGCACTGTTATATAAAAAGTTTGATAGGCTTTCATACAAATAATTACTTTCAGTTCGAGTTTTCTATAAAATTTTTGAGTCTTCTGTCACTCACTATTAGGGTTCACACATATTTTTCTGCAAATATTCTGATTACACAATAACAGCAATTCTTTCCTTGAAAATTTTTTTTTCATTTATTTTTTGGATTTTGCACTGTTCACTTCATATAACAATGCATTTTCTCCTCATGTTTTATGTTTCTTTGTTTTCCTTAAAATTTAATTTTAAATCCAAATACATCTATAGAAATATCTAATTTTTCAATAGTAGTTTGGAAATGAGCTGATATTCAAAAGTAAAACAATAAAACCGAAACATGAATTGGCAATCGACATAAATTAAATAGACAACCATAACAATGCTAATGTGAACTCATATATAAAACTTATTCAACACGTTGATAATTATAAATAAACAAATGTCTCAACTTTTCATATTATATGCGCCATCTGTTTCTAGGACTTTTTACTAGAAGCAAAAAGTCAAAAAATTTTATCACCCCGAAAATAATCGTAAACAAATTAATAAAATATTTTTAAGAAAAATGTCTACTTTGTTTTCTAAAGTTGTTAAACAAGCGGTTATAACTTTTGATCGCAAAAACTCTTCCAAATTGAAAACAAATTTTAATGTACTAAAAGAATTAGTAGACCAATTGAGTATTTCAGATGTAGGACTTGATAGCGATTTAGTTACAGAAGAAAGTTTTGACAAACCATTAAAAGCACCGTGCACATTTGTTGATATATTTGAAAATAGTCGAATAAGTAAATATAAAATCTTATTAAATATTTGAAAAAAAAATGTTTAATTTGTATAATTTTTTGCAGAGATGTCAGTGTTTATCTTACGAGGTGATTATAAAATGCCACTTCATGATCATCCAGTTATGCATGGTATATTAAAAGTTTTATCCGGAAAAGTTATAGTACAGAGTTATAGTAAAATTGCTAAAAATAGCGATATTGATCCATTGTATGACATAAACACATTTCAAATTGATGTTATAAAAGAAAATCCATTAATAATAGATTCTGATTCAAAATGTGCAGTTTTAACGCCAACTGAAAAAAATTTCCATGAAATAACTGCTATTGAAAATGTTGCAGCTTTCTTTGATATATTGAGTCCACCATATGACGCTAATATACCAATATATGGACCACGTCCATGTAGTTTTTATAGAAAAAAATCACTTGAAAATGAAAACGATCACAGGTGTACTTTAGAAAAAATTCCATGTCCAAGAAGTTATTATTGTGATGAAAGTCAATATAAGAAACCATCATTTTTATATGATTACATGGGTAATTCTAGTAAATCAAATACAAATCACTAAATTTTATGTAAATAGTCACTTTTTATTTATGTTTAAAATTAGATTCATTATAATTACATAAAAAATTTAGAATATATCGTAATATTTATATATTTATTAGTTTACTGAAAAGAAAAAAGCATCTGATTAAATATGTATAATTGTTATACATAGTAATTTATTATTGAATATTTCATTGAAAACAGTGTTTTATGTAAATATTCTTATATTATTTTAGCCAAAAATAAAAAAACAATATCTCAACCATATATATTTTGTATACACATTGTGTATATTTTGAAATATTTATAAGTTAATTTAAAATAATAATTAATAATAACTTTTATTAATTGAAACTAAGTGTTCTTTTTTTTAACGTATTATTAATTTATTAATGTATAAAATTTAATTAGTGATTTCGTATATAACAATATTTTTTATTAATACTGATAATTTTTTATTATTCAAAATAACTACAATATTTAAAAAAGATTTACTCCTACCAAGAAAATTTGTTAATATCGAATAAAAATTAGAATTCTAACTTAGATTCTTATTTAGAGATGTCTTCTCTACACAATCATGAAATTTATTCTTTAGTTTTGTTCTAGCTAATTCAAATTCAGTCTTCATTCTTTCATATTCTTTCATTAGATGTTGTTCTTTCTCCTCTGAATATAACTAGAAATTGAAATAAAGTTAATTTAAAATACTAATTGAAAATTTTGATTAATATCTACCTTGTAATTGTTAGCAGTTCTTTTAGCAGATTCATATTTAGCTTTCCATGATTCAATAATTTTAGAATGTTCTTGTTTCATTTCATCAATACATTTTAACATTTCAAGTTCCTTTTTATCACTTAAACTACGGCTTTCTTCCCATTGTTTCATAACAGCTTTCATTGATTGTCTTTCATTCTCAATTTGAAAATTCCTCTCATCTAGCTCTTTTATAAGTTCTTTAATGCGATCTTGTTTTGACTTTAATTCTTCACGGCATTTTTGTAAAATATCTTTATATTTTTGTAAATTTTTTTCATTTTGTATATCTTTTGTATTTGTAATTTCGTCAAATTTTTCGCGTTCAGCTATTACTGTATATTTTAATAATTGCACTTCGTTTTGACGAGACGTTAACTCATGATTAAGTTTTTGCAAATTTTTCTTTAATGACATATTTAAATCTTCAAGTTCTTTTATACGTGAATTAAAATGTTCTTCAATGGATTTTATTTCTTTAGCAAAAATTTTTGCCATATCATCGCGAATTGTTGATTCAATTTCTCGTCGCAGTTTATTTTGAAATTCAGGCGATGTTTCAATATTTTGATTACGGGAGGTCGTTTGTGCCGTCGTTGTAGGTTTTGGTGATGATATACCTGATGTACTATTTGAACCTGTTTCTCGTGGACTGCAATTGTGTGCATTACTACTACGACACGTCTCAATATATTCTTCAAACTGGTGGGCTTTTTCTTTTAAATCAGAAATAATTTTTTCTTGTTCTTCTTTAAGCTCTAATTTTTCTCTGAGTTCTGTTATGCATTTTTCAGATTGTGATAATTGTTCTCTTAAATCATTTACTTGTTTACGATATATGGCACATTGGTTTTCTAATTTAATATTTGAAATTTCGAGCTGTAGGTATGACATAATAAATGTAGAAAATATAATTATTATGTATAAAGAAACATATAAAAATATATTAAATGGCTCTTAAATATAAAATCTATAAGAGTACTACATACATAGAAAAATAAAATTAAATTTTGTACATACGTACATATATAAAATAAAAATAAAATCAAAAGTTTTGACTTTAAAAATTTTTGGATTTCTTAAATGAGTTTTATGAAATGAACTTTGTATAAACTTTAATTTTGTTTTATATTTTACCTTTGTAATATCAGCGGTATAATGAAGACATTTAGAACAATTAAGTGCTGCGTTATTACTTTTAGAACTTTCAGTTTTTTCTAACAATATAAGAAAATGGTGGAATTTGAAAAAATGTAATTTAAAATTTCTATTTTATATATGTATGTACATACCTTTTCTTATTTTCTCTTTTAAATCTTTAACTTCATTTTCCCTGTTTGATTTTTCGATTTCTAATAATTTTGTAAGCTCTGAACTTTTCATTTCAGCTAGTTGCAAGGCCCTTTGCAAATTTGTAGATTTTTCTTCTTCTTCTCGTAAGTCTTTAAAAATATCTTTTGATTTTAATTGGTCTAGTTCCATTAAAATTTGCTCTTTATCATTGCAAACCTCAATATATAGATTCTTAACCCGATTACACTCTTTTTGAGCATCCTCAAGCAAAAATTTCTGTTTCTCCAATTCGAGCATTAGCGAATCAATTTTCTTACAATCCTTTAAGTCTTTATTCTCCTTTAAGATAGCTTCATAGTTATTTTTCAAACTTTCATGTTCTTGTTTTAGTTCTTCTAGATCTATATTTAAATTTTTTAATTGAATATCCAAAATATGAAATTTGTTCTCATCTGTTTTAGGCGGAGATTTACGAATGTGTTTAATTTTCTGATTTTCATTTTCAAAAGTATTTTGTTCACCTTGAGACCTTGCATTTTCAATTTCTAATGAAGTAGATTTGCGTGTATCCGATTTTCTTTTATTTGCTTGATCTAGTTCATTTTCCAATATAATGATCCTATTTTCGAAACGAATTTTTTCTTCTTTTAAAGTGGCGATCAGTACTAAACACTTATTTTCTTCTTCTTTTAACGATTTAATATCTTCGTCTTTGTAATGTAATTCTTTCCCTAAATCTTTAATTTCTTTATTTTTATTATCAATTTCGGTATGCAAATGTTTTATTTCTAAATTTTTGCTTTCTATTTCCGTTTGTAATTTCTTGATTTCTTCACGTTTAGCTTTTTGACTAGCCATACTTCGATATAATTCATTTTTAAGTTTATCTAACCTGTCGTTAGTAGTTAGTGGGGTACTTTCAGCCAAGTTTTGTTTCGCAAAATTTATTCTTTTTGGACTATTGTTATCTGAGTCCATATTTTCATGCAAAACACTATCCAATATAGCTAATTCAGCAGAAGTTGCATCTAAACGGCTACGTAAATCCATGATTGTTTTCTGTTGGTGATCTGATTGTTGTTCTAAAGCTTCTATTACTCGTTTTAGTGCAACATTTTCTTGTGCGAAATCTTTCTTTGTCATTAATTTCTGACATTGTTGTTGAGATTCTTCCAGACTTTTTGCCAGTTGATTTATGGTTTCTGATTTATCTATTAATATAGCTTCTCTATTTCTTTGGAGCTCTTTATACCGAACATCTAATGCATTAAGTTCTCTTTCTTTATCTTCTAGTTTACCTCGTATATTATCTAACTGCTGTTGCAATATTTCTGTTTGGGCTTTATGACGATCATTTGTTTGTTTCATCAAAATATCGACACGTCTATCGGCATTGAAACCAGCATTTTTTTCAACCATGTGATATTTTTGTTGAACCTCTGACAACATCAATCTGGTCCTTTCAAGATCCTGCTCTAATTTAATATTGCAATCCTCCAAAGTTTTAATTTTAGCTTTTAGTTTTGATGTCGAATCTTCTAGTTCTGAAAATTTTGCTTTGCTTTCAACAAGTAATTCATGAGTTTGTTGTTTTGCCATTTGAGCCCTACACTTTTCTGCCTCTGATAAGGCCAAACGTTTATTAAGTTCTTCGGTTTTTTTCTTTTCGTCATGCAAAAGTTTTGATATGGTTTCAAGTTCACTGAAATTAAAAATAATATTAAGAGCAATTTATAGACTAAACTAAAATCTACTTACTTGTTTTTAGATTCGATAACATTAGTTAGATGTTGAATTTCATCAATATATCCTTGCATTTTTTTATCTTTTTTATTATCAAATCCATAATTATCATTTGTTAATAAATTTTGTTTTTCATTATTTTCTTGTAAACTTTCTTTATTAAATGGTCCACCAACACACTCATCTTCATCACGGTTGTAGTGAGATTTTATATTAGATGTACTATTAATTGTATAATCTTCATCCTCACTCAAATCATCAAAGGCATTTTGTAATTCATTTTCCAACTTGAAATTAAAAATAAAGGTTAAAATTTAAAATTTTCAAATTATTAGTTGACAAACTTCTTCATTTCGACGCTTTTGATCTTCCAGAGCTTCTTGTTCTTCCAATTGATTAGCAGAGGTATTTATTTGAATACTACCTCCACCCTGAAAAATACTTAAACCTGGAATATCCATTTATTTTATATATAAATTTGCAAATCAAATTTAATTTCTTTTTAAATTTGCAAACAAAAGAAAACAATAAACTGATAAAGTTGTCAAAAAATTTAAGTTAGGAAATGACAGCAAAATTTCCCGCATCGCTGTAAGGAATTTTCTTTTTCAAGAGAAATATGTACGTATATATACATATATACATATGTAAAGGTACCTAACTTAAAGAGGAGCGTACACTAGCATCTACAGTAGTAACCTATTTTAAATTTTCCCTTAAAAGTGTGTACAAATTTTACTTTTCATTAATTAGAATAAAATTTGTATCTCTTGTCAACATATTTGTTTTTTTTAAATTGAAATTCAAAAATAAATATGTCATATGTTATCGTGATTTATAACGCCATCTGAGTTTAATAAATAGGTTGTTGTCTTGGAAAAGTTAAATTGAAAAACGTCGCCGTAAAGTATTTAATGCTTTTTGTAATAGGCTTATTTACAGTTAACTAACTATACCTAGGTATATTTCCTATATCCACAACCACAACATAAACTAACTATAGCTATAAAAGTGCATATTCATAGGTATAGATATTAGAAAATTTATACTCAACTTAGTCAATCGCTACAAGTAAATAAATATTGGTCATAATGAAGTTCCTTCACCTTTTCAGTTATTAAAGAAAGCCATTTAAGTGTTTAATCGATATTATTAATTTTTTGGTGCTTAACTATGTCTACTTCAGAGGCTCGTGTAAGTTTTAAATATATCAAAATTTTTTTATAACATTTATAAATATATATATATATATTTTCGTATTTTCTTTATAATATAATAAAGTATATATGTATGTAGAAAAGTTGTAAGTAAAAATATATAAAACAATATTAGCACTTAATGCAATAAATGTAAAATATGTAAATATATTGCACACACACATTATGTAGTTTTAAGTATTAAAAACAAATAACTGTCGTGTAGTTAAAGCCAACAAACATCAAAATCTTTTCTTTGGATTTGCTTCCATAATATTTTTTTTTAAAGTCTCGAAAATAATCTTAGTCTTGGGTCCACTAAAAATTAAAAGGAATTATTATTTGAAATAACTTTTTTTTTCTAAATTTTCTTACTCTCAAATTGGGATTGCCACCTCCAATTTTCGCTGCTTCCATTTCTCGTTTCTCCATTTCTTGAGCTTTAGCCTAATATATATATATAATAAACCGGTTTTTAATTTATAGATACATAGCTTACAAGAAGTTTTTATATCACCTGTTGCCTTTTGAATTTTTCAGGATCTTTTATGCCACGTCTTTCATTCTCAAGTCGTCTTCTTTCAGCAGCTTCTTCTGCTTGTTTCCTTCTTTGTTCCTAAAAGTATGTGTACATATACTTATGTAGATTTTCATTTTAACAAATTACGTTTTTTATTTCAATCATTTACCACAGAAACTGTAAGTGAATCTTCTTCTTCGTTAGATCCTCTACAACACGACAAGAAAATACCCATTTTAATGTTAATTTGTTCTAATGAATTTTCTCTTTAATAATGTTCAAATATCAAAAGGCAATAAGTCTTAGTTGCCAGACGTTAAATATTTATTAACTTTTACTTTTTAGCTCTTTGTTTATAAAGTTAAAGAAACTGTAAATGAAAATGTATCTGTATAATGTAAATAAATAATAAAATTGTCAAATATTTTGTGTGACAGTTAACCAATAAACTTGAAACTTGTATAATTATAACAAAAAAATTTTATAAATTACCTAGAAGCATTTTTAATCAACTTTTTAAGAGAATTCAAAATATAAATTTTTCATACATAATACATGATTTGGTCCATTGGATCACTGATTTGAATAAATTATAATTATTCAAATACAACTGGAAACTAATGCTTTTCAAAGTTCTAATTATTGGAAAATCGAAAATTATTCATTATGCAAGTGTTTCAGTTATTGTTTACATTTCCGATAAAATCTGCGATTTAATCTGAACTTGATAAAAGTCGTATATGTAAGTGTATTTGTCATATTTGACACATTATATTAGTTATATTATTTATTTATATTAGCTACATATATTATTTATTTATTTGGGAGATATCGATGAATAAAATTAAAGATGATAGAATTTACCTTTAAATGTCAAGCATTCTATGTTCTAAGGTAGATAATGTAAAATAAAATTCACATAAATTTTTTTTATTCTTATTTATTGGTTAATTTTTGACACTAGATGTCAACATTATTGTTGGGGAATTGGGAATGGAATTTTGTTTTTATTTATTTTTTTCTAAATGTTTGTACATTTGTGTTCAGTGTGATTTCTTTGCTGTCAGATAGCTTTCATCTCATTTATTTATTTTTCTTATTTTTGTATAGTTCTTTGTTGTTTGTTCTCTGCTCAAATTTTAATCTAAATTTATACTACATATATATTTTATACTTACATACATATTATATACCACTAGGTATATTAATTTTTTTTTGGCAATTTTATAAATTATAAGTGTGGTGTCAATATAAGTTTCGAATTTTTTTTTTTTAATATTTTCTTCTATTAAAAAATAGTACAATTATAATAAAAAAAAAAGCACAATGTTAAATGTTCCAAATGAAGGAAAGGTAAGAAATATTTAATGAAATATTAATTATAAATTTCAAGTTGATTATATCGCTTTAAAAATATTCTTCGCCAAATAACTTTGGTCCTGTATGACCTTGATGTGACCTTAGATATTTGGATGCATATTGTATAAAAATATTCACATTGTCTTAAATTGTAATATTGTTGTAGGTACCTAATTTGAATGTAGCTTCTTTGTATATCCATAATGTGAAATATGTATATTCTACATATATGTATGTACAGAAATACATATATAACTAAATAAGTAATATACAATCAATTATTATTTAATTATTTTAACAAATAAGTTGATATATAAATTTTGTTAACATTAGTATAAAATTTAAAATTTATTAAATGTATCAAAAACATTTCGGTATTTGAAACGGGAAATAAAATTATCCGTTATTATTAGATATAAAATTTTATTTATATGTAGGTATGTACATGCATATTATGTTTGTAACATTAATTTTGAAATAAATGTGTTTATACATTTAATTGATAGGGTGATTTTCCAGTTTTCGGACGAATAACTTTTTTTTGACTTTGGAAGGTTGTCACTCTGCCAAAATAAGATGTGCGGTTGTAAAATCACATTTTTCTTAAACTTTACCAAATTTACTATGTAAAAAAGCTCAGGTTGATGACATTTTTGTGAATGGTATATAAAATATTTAGGTTTAAAAAAAAAGTGTCAAATTTTCCAGTTTCCAGACATAAATTTCTATTATTCGGACAGGAAAATTTTAGTTTCCGGACAACAAGAATTTCTCTTACAGGTTTTTAATAATATAAGTAAAAAATTGTGTTTATAGAAAGCACATATTTTTCGAGAATTAACTCGAGTTTATTATTTGAGTTCAGACTTTTATTCAAAATAAAAACAAATACTTTAACAATTCATAGTACATTAGTATAAAAAACAAAAATATTAACTTTTACATAACGATTCTGTTTACATAGATTTAACTGTATATTATAGTTTTTAACCTATTTAAATAAATAATTACATTATATTATATATTATTTATGTATATCTTTTACATATTAGCTTTGGAATTTTTTTTGCATTAAAATTAGTGTATTATTCCTTTTCCTTTTTTAAGGAAACGTTTTTATAGTTAGATTTTTTATATTTTCTCTTGAGTTCAGATTTTTTAACTGAAAGCTCCCTTTTCTGCAATCTTTCCAATTTTCTTTGTTTAATTGCATCAGCTTTTTGAATTTTTTCCTGTTCCTTTTTGGCATAAATCTCTCTCCATGCTGAAGATGAGATAGCACTTGGAGAACGATCTTCCGTCTTATTTTTTCTTTTTGAATAAAAGCTATATAATTTTGGATAAAACAAATGTTTTTGCAATGAGCGAGAGGATGATGGTCGACTTATTGGGGTTGTTGGAGAAGTTACTAGAATTATTGAATTTGCTTAATTTTTTGATTAATTTTTCCACTATTTTGTGGCTTACCTGATGTTACATTAGAAATACTTGAGCTGGAGGACAATCGTCTAGTTATTAATGATGTTGTAGCAACTGTGAAAAAAATTGAATTAAAATTATTATTCATAGTTCTAAGTAAAACCTTACCTGGTATAAAATTTGTATTTTTGGGGGTCGTTTCGCGTTTTTGGTTTGATAGCGATATTGGCTGCTTTGAAGGTTGCTTTGGAGTACTTGGAGCAGACTTTTCGGCGTCGGAACATAGCAAAGTATTTAAAATTTCCTGCTCATCTAAAACATTAACATAATCCTCAGCATGTACGATTGTATCAGTATCGACAAATTCTGATTCATTGATTTTCGGTAAATTATCTTCTTCAGTAAATGGGAGCTCAGTATTGATATTCTCTAAAACATTTAAAATTTCGTTCAAATTAATTTGATGTTTCTCAAGCTCTTTCTGAGATAACTTTATCACTTCCATCGCATATTTAACTTTTTCTGCAAGACTAATATCCTTTTCATTAACATTTGGATAATTAGAAGTTCTAGTTTCACATGATTCTGAAAGCACACGCTCGATATTATTTTTCACACATTTTGAATAATCGATTGAGTTCGGATCAAATGGACTTAGTCCACATTTTCTGAAGCCATTTATAATGCTCGTACTAAGATTTTGATTTTGATTAATTGTTTCCTCCAAGAGAGGACAAAATGTTTTCTTTGTTAAAGCTACTCCAAAATTTTTTGATTGCCAATTTCTAACCGTTTCCTTCCAGCCTGTTTTTAAAGGCTTAAAGACACTCACATCCAGTGGCTGCATTATGTGGGTCGTGTTAGCAGGAAGAGCATATAAAATTATACCATTTTCGTCACAAAAAGTGCTAAGCTCCATGGTTAAGTGAGATTTATGACCATCAACAAAAAACAATACCGGACGTGGAATATTTTGTTTTTCAATCCAAACATTTACGCAGTTTGCCACATATTCAAAGAAAGTTTCACTACGCATCCAACCGCTTTCTGTACGTCCCAAAAACCAGTTTTGAGGTACACTGTCAACAACTTCTTTTGGTGGTCTAATGTACGGGAATATTACCATTGGGGGTAGAACTTTGCCATCAGCTGTGCAAACGAAAAGCACTGTCAAAGTTTCCTTTTCGTTCCCCGTTTGTATTTGGTATACATTTTTATATGATTTGGGAGCAATGACTTTGCCTGTTTTTGGGCACAAACTGAAGCTCGTTTCATCACCATTTATGATCCGCCTAGGGTCATTTAGTAAAGTAGTTTGACTTATACTCTCAAGAAAAATTGAAAGATCTTGAAACCATTTTTTGATATACTCCTCTGTAACAACAGCACGACCCTTGGTGATATTTTCTGCTTCCTTCAACGATAACCCTGGATTTCGTCTGAAAAAACCACGAAGCCATGTTCTACCAGGACGTCCATTTTTGAATGGATTTGCTCGTCCAGTGTGCTTCAAAATTTGTTCCACTGTATTAAGCAAATCATCAACTTGAAGTGGGAATCCACATTTGCTTAGTTTTCCACACCATTCAGCTATTTGTAATTCTTCGTCTTTAGTGAGAACAGGATCTGGACCTCTAGTTGTGGGACCTTCTGGGGTTTTGCCCTTCAATTTGTCATGCAGTGTTGAGCGGGGTATCCCATATTTTTCTGCTGCGGCTCTAATACTTATTTTATTATTTCGGATATCTTCTAATGCAGCTCCTGTTTTATTTCCGGTATCTTTCGCACAATTCGATTGAATATTTGTTGAATTTTGATTAATTTTGTCCCCGTTCATTTTGCTGAAGAAGTTGAAAACGAATTGGTAAGACGGCGAAAAAATTTAATGTAGATAGGTTTCTTTAGCATAGTAAAAAGAGGTTGTCCGGAAAATAAACAGTGCTATGTTACATGTATACTAATTTTCGGACAAGTAGCCATATTTGTTTTTTTCGCGTCCGAAAACTGAATTTTTACGAATTTAAAGGCTAAAAATTTGAAAGTAACTTTAAAATATGCAAATTTAAGTTATCATGCATAAAGATTTGTCAAATTGTAAATTTCGTAATTTTTCAGTATTCGGACAATCGTGTCCGGGAACTAAAATTCATGTAATTTTTTAGTTTTAGAAAGCGGACTATTAATAATAAAAATAATATTTAACATTTTAAAAAAAATAAACCTTTTAAAAGTTAATTGAATGTTTTTCCAACACAAATATATAATAATATCACACAATTTTATAAAAAATAACTTAAAAACTTACTTTTTCCGTCAACTTGTTTGTTATTTTTTTTTTAGAAAATTTGCACTTTTATCACTTACTACTCAACCTTCTCACTTTCAAGACAACTTTCAGACTAATAATGTACAGTTTATTAAAATATTATTTTACAAAATGGCGGAAAATAATGAGACGAAACAAAAATGTTAATGGATTTTTGGTGCAGCTTTTGAAATTTTCTTATTATTTAAAAAAAACCACTAAAGTGTCCGAAAACCGGTGAGTGTCCGGAAACTAGAAAATTACCCTATGCAGATTAAAAAGCTATTTAATTAAGATATTTGGGAAAAATAATGTGGAATTATAAGTTCCTAAACATACAGAAATAGGTAGTATGCTTATTTACATACATATACATACCGGTATATTACATACATATACAAATTTTTTTAATTAACTTTGTAATTAATTCATCTGTTATTTAACATAACATTTAAGTAGTTATCTAATAATTTTTTTTAAATTTTTCTGAGATGTATAAAAAACTGTGAACTGTGGGTGGGTTTCAATAATAAGTTCTTAAAGCTAGTGTTGTTCAAATTTTTGTTGATCATATTACAATAAATAAATGAAGTCTCAAAAATTATTAGATTTAGGTATAATTTACTTATTATTATTATTATCATAACAAGAAATAAATAAATCAAAATTTTTTTGTTAGATATTACACTATCTGGTAGAAAAATATAAAAAATCTGGTAGATTTAAGCTTCTATTGATAAGAATAAATTTGATGGCTAAGTGGGTAGAAGACAATATGTACATATAAGCTTAATTATTTGAAAATTTCCGAAATTAGTATTTTCTTTTATCATGTCTATATACCTACATACTTATATATTTGATTTATATTGATTTTTTAATGGGTATATATAATTATTACTAAATAGTAATAATGATAATATACCTACCCATTATAATTTCAATACAGCAAAGTAATCAGAAATTTGTTATAATTTTTGAATAAATAAAATAATTGGGTTTCTATCTAGGTAGTATCCATGTATGTGAATGAAATCAAAACAATCTATAGTTAACAATTAATAACTTATAAATAAATATTAATTAATAGAATATTAAATTTAATATATTATGGATAGTTGATCTTGAAAGTGATTGAAATCCATTTCAAAATCAAAATTTCAAAAATTTGGTTAAGATGTTATTTTTCTTAATAGAATTATTTTCAATAGAATAATTTTCCTATCCGACAACATAAGTTTCGGTTGATAGTACACCATTGAATATTATAACAAATTTAAATATTATTTAATAAAATTAGAGAATAATAATAATTTATTAAGAATTTTATGCTTAAATATATTCACATATGTATATTTAAATAAAAATTTTTATTAATTTAATTAAAACTTAATTTAATTGACTCTAAAATTATAAGTTGAATTCAATTTGATTATTAACAAGTGCATAGATATAATTTTTTATATTAATATGCTTAATCTATGATTAACAAACTTAAATACCCTTATTATGACATTTTAATTTAATATATTATTTTTTTTTAATAAATTAATTCCTTTATATTAAATTAATTTTATATTGAAAATAAAAATTTCGATTTCGTTTTAAACTTTAAGTTATTTCTCTTTTGATGACTCGAAATGAATTGATTGGTTAATCTTCATCCTAAAATGAAATAATAAAAAAATAATTGATTAAATTAATAAAATTATAAAAAAAATGCCATAAAATAAATGGAAAATTTACAAAATAATATCATTTAAAAAAAAAAGATAATGAAAAATTTTTAAAAGAAAAGAAGTAAGAAAATAAAATAAATTGTAAATTTTTATAATTTTATGTAAGTAATTTAGTTTTTTTCCATTTATTTTTTATTAAATTTATGATTAATAATATTAATCATAATATTATATGTAATTACGTATACTACATAATAAATATAGTATACATTATAAGTATATGCAAGGTAATTCAGTAATGAGAACAATATAAAATTATAAATTCAACAATTCAAAAATTAATTGGATTAAGTTGAAAAAAATCTTGGTACCTACTCCGAAAGTACATAAAATACAAAATTAAATAATATGTTGATTTCAAGTTCTTTACTAGCCCTATTAAAAAAATCTGAAAATAAATTAAAAAAAAAAACCAGTTTGGGAAAGAAATTTGATTAAAATCCCTGTATCTCGGAAACTGTTGACACTGTATATGTGGCTCCAAACAAAAACTATGCATTTTTGATGCCCTCTAAAAGATCGTATATATAATATTGTACCTGTTATTGAATCACCCTGTTAATTACAAAATTTTATATTTTTTTTCGATTTCTGCTTTTTTTTTTATTTTAAAGTTCAATTGAAATTTTAAAAGTGAAAATTAACAACATGATTTTGTTAAGCAACAACGCAACAAGCAACAATATTTTATTTTAATTTTATTTTATTTTAAATAATTATTTTGTTTTTTGTACTTACTATAGATAATAAATTTTTCTTTTTCAAAAAATTGATAAGGTTTGCCAAATTATATGCTGTTTTTTTTTCATTAATGTGTTCTTTTACATTAGAAACGAGCCAGTTTCTCAAATATAATTGACTTATTAGAGGAAAGAAAAGCACATAATGACTGCTTAATTTTAATTTATTCCAATTATTACCCTCAGTTCAATATGTATATGGTTATCATCACTATCCAAGTTTGTGTTTTATTTTATTACTTTTTCTATATATTCACATATGTATGTACATATGAGTTTTATTGATAAGAAATCATATGTAAAGAAAATAAATTAAAAATTTTTTCTGTTTCTGTGAGTACAAGTAAAAAAGAGGAAAAGGAAAAACAACAAGTAAACACTAAAGAACTTTGTATAAAACACAAGCAACTCTTCTATAGTTAAAATTGAAATTAAGCTTTGAAAATATTCTGAATATATTCTGTGATGGCAAACCTAAAAAATACAAAAAAAAATTAAATTTTCCACTTGAAAAAAAATGAATTTATCATTTTTTTTTTTTCATAATATTAATAAAAAACTCACAATTATTAATAAAAAAAACTTGGTTTTCTTTTTTCTATTTGTATATATGAATGTATACGAGCATATAAGTACTTATAAACAAAAATGTTTCTCTTCTGAAATATTTTATTTGTTCTAAAGTTGAAGCGTGATTATTTTACAATATAATTTTGTATTCTTTTTCATATTGTACTTGAGTAGAGACTCACATAAATATATATTTATATGTATGTACATATATATATACAAATAATTTACTTATTAACTCAATAAATATACAATTGTTATACTCTTATATTACTTTTTATATATTATTTATACAATAATTTAGAGCTTCAAAATGTACTATGTACTTATATGTATGTATAAAAATATTCTAGTCTTTAATTAAAAATACTGAAGTTCGTCATAAAATTTGTCAGTAGTTGATGCACGGCGCTCGTATAAATGACAAACTAAAAAAAAATTTAATATTTACAATTGAATTGAATTTAGTTTGAAGATTATTTTTTTCTTTGTTATTTTTATTTTTGTAAATAAGCTGAAATTAAATAATTAAGTTTTAATAATAATAATTATATATTATAGGTATTTTCTAAATCTATAATTACGGGTATATACTAGATTTTATAAAAGAATTTAAAATTTTTTTTTCAAAAATTTACAATCGATTTTAAATTAATTATTAATAATTATAAATTTTGAACCTTTAGAAATTAATAGAAAGAGAATAAAATTAAAATTCAAAATTTTATTATTGTTTTTAATATTTGAGTAAATGAAATTAGTGTTTATAATTGTTATTTTAATATTTAAATAAGAAAAAACAAGAAAAATCAAAAAAAAAAAAAGTTATTGAATTTTTTAAATAAATATTTTTTAAGAATTGTTTAATAATTTTCAATACTATTTTGTTGTTGTTGTTTAAATTAATTTATTAAAATTCTTAGTGCATTTTTATAAAAAAAAATAATAAAATAATAAAATAAAAAATCGTGATATTTTAAACGTGAGACTGTAAAAGGAATTTATATAAATAAAAAATAATAAGAAGAGAATTAGAAAAAATTATTGGAAAGAAAATGACTCGTCCCATTGATATTCTCTTAGAAAGAGTAAGTTACAGACTATAAAATGTAGTTAAATATTATTGCAATTAATTATAAATATTTTTAAAATGTTTTAATTACATATTTGATTTGAAATTGTCAATTAGAGAACAATTCCTTAAAAATTTGTAGTTAATTGCAAAATGTAACTTAACTTATAAATAAGTATAGGTACTATAAATCAATAATTGAGAAAATTTTTGGACAAAAAATAATATTATTTATTTAAAATATTAATAAATATATAAAAAGAAATTACATATTTTATTGTAAATACAAATTTGATATTTATGCAAAATAGTTAACATTTTTGCAAAACTGTAATATAAATTATGATTAGAAATTAGATAATTATATTTTTAATTAAAATAAAATTGAAATTTGAACCGTATTTAAGCCAATCATTTTTACTTTTATTTAGTGTTTTCATTGTTAATACACAAAAAAATAAATAAATCTGCAAATTTTTTGATTAATTAATTCAAAAAAAAATGCTAACAGGCCCTGATTTAAAAATTTTTAATTAAAGATATGAAATTGAAATACTTGGTTGATTCTTTTTTTTATAACCCTATGTATAACTTGAATATTTTTAGTAAAGGAAAACTTGTTCGAAGGTTGTGAAAAATCATATGCATTTTTATTTAAATAAATTAAATTATTTAAATTAAACCAATGTAATTAGATTATATTTTATTAACTCATACATATTTCTTTTGAAAATTTTATATTTCTTTAACTTTTTTACAATAAATGAATATAAGATATTAATAAAGCCCTACCCTCAGTAATAATTTTTTGTTCGGCAGTTAATAAGTAACAAATATCTAAATTAAAATTTTGATAAAGGTTAGCTAGATGTATACATAAGTACAATGTTGAAAAAAATGTTTTTTCGTATACTGTTATACTGTTAATTATGTTTTATTCTTATATTTTGTCAATATTTAATGTAATTGCCTAATATATTTTAGCAATCTTTTACTTCTACAATATTGTATACAATATTGTTGATTGTACAATTATAAGACTCATGCAGTATATTGTAGTAATAGCACTGTCACTACTTTTGACTTATCAATTAGATAAGCAATTATGTTTAGATTTAATAAATTATTTTATTAATGAATGGGAAAAAATTCATTCTGAATTTGAAGTAAATTATTTTTTTTTAAAAATTTACAAATATTTTCATTAATATATGAAATATAGAATTTTTTTTTTACTACAGGAAATTGATAA